ATTCAGAGTAGGCAATTTCGTGCATGCTGGATTTAATATATATTGCATGTGTCTGGATGGGCTTTTGTCCCCAGACTTCTGACAATGAACATTTTACGTAACAGCTAGAAGCTCATCTCTACAAACGAAAATAAAATTGTATAGCTTTACTTGACTATACTTCTTTTTTCAAACTTTGAGGAAATCATATGGCGTAATCATTCAGTCTTTGGGTTGTCATGATTTTATCTGTGAAGAGACTCTCGTGTGCTTCTCTTTAGTTGTTTTGGGTATTTTGATTCTCTTGTGCATTAGTTGCTATTTATTTTAGTTTTCAGCCATTTTTCATCGTTTGAAAATCCCAAGAAGGGAGGTTTGTTATTTAGTAGGACTATCCCCAGCTGCAGCCAAGGCGTACGTGCATAAGATAGTTGTCTGTACTAAATTATTGTCTTGTCAAATTGAAGAACTGTCCATGGATTGACTTTCTGGCCAAGCGAAAGAGTCTTATTTGAACTGTATCGCACTAAACTAACATTTCCACTGCCATGATTATTGGAAAATCTTCTATCTTATATGGAATGAATCGCATCCTTTTATGTGTGACGATTTCTGTAGGGTTTAAGGAAAAGGGAGGGAGAGAGGCATAGAGAAACTGATGCCTTGAGCTCCTAAAACATAATTTAAAGCAGGCCAATAAATTTCCGCAAATTCAATAGAAAATGTGTGTTTCTGTTGCCTGTCTCCATGTTTGCATGCTCAAATGGCAGTGTACATGTCGGTGCGACTGTTATTGCTAGTCGTGGTTACAAAGCAAGATTGTATGACAAACCTTTATTGCTGCAGGTAGACAGAGGCGTTCTCTTAAGTGAAGCCCTACTGATGCATGATAAGTGGCTTGAAGAGAAGGGGATTAAACACACTAACTTTGCAGTGGTGACGTGGTCAAATTGGGACTGTAGGGTTATGTTGGAATCAGAGTGTCGGTTTAAGAAGATTAGGAAACCCCCATATTTCAATAGGTATGTGAGCATTGCATTTGAGAAAATATACTTTTGAAATTTGAAAATTTCTCTTGGTGCTTTTACTTGTAGAGACTAGAGAGTGTTCGGTGGCGTCCGCACTCAATTATTAATTTTTATTTTGTTTGCGTGGCAGTATTCATTAATAAAGCAGCGGTTTAAGGAAGATGTACTGCAGAATAGCGTATATGGTAGAAGCTTCTGTAGTTTCTTTTGATGGATTTCTTGTTTCCTCGCTTTTTTTTAACTGCACATGAATAAAAATAGGTTCGATTTTTGCAGTATCATCTGAATCACTGCTTATGGAGTTTGAACTGTCTTTGGAAGTTTGTTCTGTTTGTTACCTCACTAACTAGCTACACTAAAATTACACGAGAGCGCACTATTTAGCCATGAAAAGCTAGCTTCAGTGTTGCTGGATCAGTATATGGATATTGATTAGATGTTTTAGTTGACTATTGTCATTTTGAATTCTGCTAGATGGATAAACCTAAAAGTTCCCTTCCATGAAGTATTTGGCGGTGTTAGATGCAACTTAAAGGAAGCTGTCCAGCTAGCGGGCCTGGTCTGGGAGGGCCGTGCACACTGTGGGCTAGACGACGCCAAAAACACCGCCCGCCTTCTTACCCATCTTATGCACCGGGGATTCAAGTTCACCATAACCAACACGCTGATGTGGGCGTCCGCTGAATGTCCTCTGGCGATGCGGCAGTTCCTGGACAGCCGCTCAAGCCCGATCCCGCAGTCGCCGAAAGTGAAGCAACCTCTGATGCCATTGATACATTTCCAACCGGTCCAAACTGACCCCGCGAAAGACCACCACAATTACTGCTACTGCGGGGTGAAAAGTAACAGGCGCATGGTCCGGAAGCCAGGACCGAAGCATGGGAGCTTCTTCTTCGGGTGCGGTAATTGGACCTCCGCAAGAGGGGCTCTTTGCCCTTACTTTGAATGGGCTACTCCCTAAGTTGAAAGGAGGGGATTCTATCCCTCAGAAGCAGAATCGGAAGATAGTCGACAATTCTGGGAGAAAAAAAAAGAACAAAAAGAGACGGGCGGTCTCCTGTGAAAGCAAGTGTACCTTCAACGGTCGCAAGAGGTAACTTTTTACCTTTCACCACAAATAGTCGGGCCTCCACTAGGCGACCTTTTAAAGAAGTCTAGGGATTACCTTGTATAGTTGGGACTTCTTTCGATAGAGGAGGGGGAGGAGGAGGGTATTCAGAAAATGCTTCGCATAGGAGAGCGGTTCTTACGTGCAGGGACACGATTTTTAATTATTATGAATAACCAGTGATAAGGTAACGAACTTCATTTATCGTGTTTGGATGGAGATGATTATTGATTCGTGATTGCGTTGTGTCATCATCGCGTGCATGCTCTTTCTTGTCGGGATTGTGCAATGCAGGTCTGTACAGTATCTGTGGCATTATCATATTAAACCAAACTGGAACGACGTATATTCTGGTGCATGAGTGATGACTCAAGGTGCTGTTTTCTCCTGCAGTTCGAGTTACTATGGTTTTCCTTCAACTTTTTATACGATGATTGCACCTAAGTTCCAAAATTTTCAAGAGAAAGATTCAATCTTTTACCTCGTAAATTATGTATGGAAAGGAGTCGCAATTATTCGTCGTGCCAGGAAGAAATTATTATTTTGGGTGGCATTTGATTCATGCGGTTTTAGATATTGTTCATGGAAGCACGTTGGTGCTTTGCTTCGGCTCGCGTTCGTCGGTATCGAGTGAATTTAAGTTCGATGAGAAGGACTTTGAGCCTTCTGAGTCCCTCCCTCTTTACTCGGAATGTGTTAATCTTGTCATTTCAGAGTAGGATGTTTACATTTCGCGTCGGATTCTTGTTTCTCTCGAGAAAATCGTGTCGTGCCATGTCGAGAATCAACGCTCCGAACAACGAGCGTTGCTCCGATCCTTAACCGTTCGAATCCAAAAATCTCTCCCTTTCTCTTCGGATTTGCAACATTCGATACCCTCGAATCATTCAACTCAAATCCGTTTTAATGGCTCTTTTCATAAGAGGTCTTCTTATGTTCTATTAAATTCTCGTCACCGTTCAAAACCAGTAAATTCAATTAGCCTTTTTTTGGGCGAATTCCAAGTTTTAGAGGTATTGACAATCGAAAGGGGTAGTCTACTAACCTTTCGAAAAAAAAATTTGTTGCTTCTAGAAACAACGAAATCTGCTATGCCTTTATTTACAAAATCTTATATTAGATACCTTACGAGAATTGATCCGACGTATGCGAGCCCCTCGAATGTCAACATACTTGAAACTCACGACTTAAAAACACATGCATAACTAAAATCAAACTCTGGCGCCAGATTTTCCAAGTCGTTGAAATGGACGGGGGAGGAAGGACAACGGTGGGGCCCAGCCAAATGTCAATTTCGGACAAGAAAGTCAAATTAAAATAATCTCTCGTCCAAAAAAAAATCAATTTCATTGTCCACCTGTATCCTTATCCCCAGCTCCAAGGGAAAAAAAAAATCAACAACTACGACAAAAAGCCAAAAAAAAAAATACCAACTTTAACTCGAATCCGTGGAAACTGACGTGTTGCTCGAAATCATTGATTTGGGCAGCATAAACTTCGGCATTATTCTTTCGACTTGGAGATGCTTATCTTTTCGTTGCAACAGACGGGGTCCTTGATTCGTGAAATTAAAATATGGCATCGTTTGCCGTCGGCCACATTCTTACATCAATTAACCCGGATAAAAAAAAGAAAAACTTAAACGCGGGTATTTTTCTGTGTCACTCAGAAAAGTTCATGAATTTTTCGGACCGTTTGGAAACGTAGAGACATAACTATATTCATCACTTGTATCACAAGACTAATTAATTACAGCATCAATTGCCAAGACTTCTTCCTTTTGTCATTTCAGGCGCGGGAGGCTACTATATATCTGCCTACCCGGAGATAGCCAATCGAAGTTGACGTGGTATTTACCTTTACCATCCAAAAAACACCCTAAGTTCCCTCTAAATATTTTTCTTCTCTAGAGAGGGGAAATACGGAGAGAACTTATGAGGAGGGCTTCCAATATTTCCCTATCTCTTTTTGAGTCTTTTAAGGTCTTGTTCGGGATCTAAATATGCTAGGATATTAAGATTTTTTTTTCAAAAGGGAAAAAACCACCAAAAACCCCAAACTTTGCCATCTGTGACACATTTACCCCGAACTTTTTTTTGTGACACCAAAAACTCCGAACTTTGCTTTTTGTGACACATTTACCCAAATGTATTTAGTCCATGGGCATTTTCGTCTTTTTTGCTTTTTCTTTTTTTTTCTTTTTTTTTTCCTTTCCCGCGAGGGGGCCTCGCCGGCGGCCTCGGCCAGCCGGATCCGGCGAGGGGGCCCTCGCCGGCGCCGAGCGAGGGCGGCCCTCGCCAGATCAGGCGAGGGCGGCCCTTGCCGGCGTCGGGCGAGGTTCGCCCTCGCACGGGCGAGCGAGGGCGGCCCTCGCCGACTCGAGCGAGGTCGACCTCACGGAAGGAAAAAAAAAAAAAAAAAAAAAAAAAAAAAAAGAAAAGACGAAAATGCCCATGGACTAAATACATAGTAAATGTGCACAAAAAGAAAGTTCGGGTTTTGGTGTCACGAAAAAAGTTCGGATAAATGCCATGCGATAGAAAGCTGTGCTTTTTGTTTTCCTTTTCAAAAATATAAAAGTTATTGATATTTTCGTGATTAATCGGACTAAAGCAGTCGCCCAGTCTGTCGCGCGACACTCGCATAGAAAAAATCGAAGGGACGAATCGCGACCGTCAAATCATCATCGCATGGAGAGGGGCCCCCCCCACGTTCTCCGCGCCGTCGATGAACGAATCCGGTCAACGGGGTCAGACGATCCGGACGGCGCGCGATGCGGGTGGAGCACGGCAGATGGGGTGCGCGAGCCCGCACCGTAGAGCTGCTCGTCGCTCCTAAAACTCCCCTGCTTCTTGAGCTCTGTTTTCACTGCCAGTCGCAGGTTCGTAGTCGTTGTCCAAAGCCCACAGAGCAGCAGCAGCAGCAGCAGCAGATCCATGGAGTCGCGACTCGCCGTCAACCTCTCGCCCGCGCTCCTTCTTCTTCTTCTCCTCCATCTGTCGATCTTCGTCTCGCCTGCCGCGTCGGAGTTTGGCCAGGTACTGTTCTTCCCCCGTTCGTCGCCTCGTTCCGATCACTGCCCGACTCTGTTTTTCGTCGTCGGCTCGCGTGAGCTGAGAAAAAGGAATCGACTTTCGCTCCCGTTATGGTTCCCGCGGCCGTGTCGGATGGTTTCCGTCTTTTGGGCATGTTGTGATCCGGATGGAAATGTTTTGATTCGTCTGCGCGCGCTCTCGCGCGTGGTCAACGGAGTGGGATTCTTGCGTCCTTCTTTACGTGGATAGTGTGTTCCGCGGTGCAGTCTTGTGATGCTGGGGTCGGGTATGGAGAGCCCGCGTGCGGGGCTTCGGAGGGCTCGTCGAAGATTTTGATCAAGGGGGGGACCGTGGTCAACGCTCATCATCAGGAGGTTGCTGATGTTTATGTGGAGGACGGGAAGATCGTTGCTGTGAAGCCTAATATCAAGGTGATTTTTTCCGTCTCTGTTGATTGATGTTGATCCTGAAATAGGAAGAGTGATGTTCAGTTTATTGTTTCTGTAGTTGGTGGGTTGGTGCGTACTGTTGAAAAATTGAAGAGTTTGGGGGAAGGGTGTTTGGTCATGTTACTGGGGGCGACGTTTTTGCAGATCATAGTGAAACGCCTTTGTACTTCTGCGTGAACTGAGTCACGATAGTCTGGATAAAATAGCCAGCAGACATTTGTTAAGTATTGTCACATTTTTCAAGTATTCAAAGATGGCTAACTTTTCTCCTCCAATGATTTGGAAGTTGAATTTCTCCTTCTTTCTTGATATCCATGGAAGAATTTCATGCAATTTGGAGTTCGATGGATCTAATTTCTGAAATTTCCATGAGCAGGTAGGTGATGATGTCACCGTGCTCGATGCTACTGGTAAATATGTCATGCCAGGTATAGCTCACTGTGTGTCTACTTTGCTCTTATACATAATTTGTTTGTAGAAACTTTTTCATTCTTTTGAGCATTATATGTGTATCTTTTTGTTTTGCAAATGCCTGAACTTTACAATTTGGACCCTCCGAAACCCCGCACATGGTATTGGAGTTAGGGGTTTCGAGCTTGATGTTTTCAATCCCTCAAACTTTCCTTACGCAGTTTATGGTTTTCTTATTTTTACATCACAATTCTCTCTCAAATATTCTTGCTTTCACCCATATCAAGCTCACAAACTAATGGTTTTCCTCTCATCTCGCTACCATTTTTTGTGAGGGAGAGTGTTAGGACTTTGAATATATATCATGTCATTCTCTAACAGTTTAAGTTTCCATCACAAATAGTTCGCTCAACTTCAACATGTCCATTATATTTGAACTCCAGAAAAAAGGCATGGCCTTAAGAATATGGACCATTCATTTAGTTTGTCATTGCACCGCACCCATGATGACCTGGTTCTGCTTGCAAAAACTTTCTTAGTTTCTTGGAGTGGGCACTGGTTCTGACGCCAAAGTACCTGGAATAATCTAGCGAGCTGTTCAGTCAATGTCTATCTGTTCAATCTGCTAGGACAATCACTATCTAGGTTGGTCTACCACATGGCTATATGCTTAAAAAATTTGAAGAAGGTATATGACAGCAGTAGTAGAGTTCCCAAAAATCTACGGTAAATAGTGTTTCCTCCATGACGGTTAAACACTTCTCCTATATAGGCCTAACAGTTTCCTTGAATGGTGATCTTTCATGTTGATTGCAAACAATATCTTTAATAATTAAGTTTATCAAATGCCCCTTATCTTTGGCTTCAAACGTTGGTCAATTTATGGCCTTTCCTTAAAATTTATGGATGTGCACTCTCACACGCACTCACCAACTCGGATTTTTTATTTTTCATCCTCAAAAGTCTGTGTTCATATCTTAGTCAATGAATTTTGCATTGTAGCTTTTCAATTGCTGTTTCATCGGCAGTTAGTAGTACCGGTCCAATTGTATATTTTGGCATAAATATGAGATTGGAACAATTCAATCAGAATGGTTAACTCCCATACAATCTTGTCAGGAGGAATTGATCCGCACACTCATCTTGCTTTTGAGTTTATGGGGACTCAAACATTGGATGACTTCTTCACTGGTCAGGCTGCAGCATTAGCTGGTGGAACAACAATGCACATTGACTTTGTAATACCAGTCAAAGGGAGCTTAATTGCAGGCATTGAAGCATATGAGAAGAAAGCAATGATATCCTGTATGGACTATGGTTTTCACATGGCAATCACAAAGTGGGATGACGATGTATCTAGAGAGATGGAAGTTATGGTTAATGAGAAAGGTGAGCAGTGGCTGCTGGTGCTGCATGCACATGGTTCTTGACGAGCCCCCTTGGAAGTTATATGTTCTTTTAACTCTTCTGAGTAATTGCAGGTATCAACTCTTTCAAGTTCTTCATGGCCTACAAGGGGGCTCTCATGATAAATGACGAGCTTCTATTACAAGGATTCAAGAGGTGCAAGTCTCTTGGTGCATTGGCAATGGTCCACGCAGAAAATGGCGATGCTGTTGTTGAAGGTCAGAATAGAATGATCGAACTTGGTATTACTGGACCAGAAGGGCATGCCCTCTCAAGGCCTGCAGTGGTAAATGCTAGCATCTGTTTTCTGTTGAATGTACCGAGAGAATTTTTTTTACCGCATCAACACATTCTTTTCCGATTTCTTTTTGGGTGTGGCTGCTTCTATAAGCAAAAAATTAAATCATGATATAAATTTTTCAAAGTCAGATTAAAGTTGTCCTTGCAAGTAGACTAAGGTTGCGTTTGGTAGCCAGGATAAAATTCAGGATAAGATAACATTTATCCTATCCTGTGTTTGGTTCCTACTCAAGATAGGATAAAGCCGGATATAAGGGGGATATAGCATGGATAAAATTATCCCAGGGGGAGGTGAGATAAAAGTGGATAGGATTTCTCATGTTTATGGTATAAAAGCTATTTTTCTCGAATCAAACTTTTTAAATAATAAAAATAAATTAATATTGTAATATTGAAAAGATAATTTAGAATAACAAAAAAATAATTTTCGTTTTTATATATTCCTATATTATTTATATAATTGAATTTCTTTCTACTTTATAATATATATTTAATATCTATATTATTACATATTTTAGGTATAATAGTATAGTTTATAAGTCGATAAAATTTTTATAAAGGATTGATGGAAGGGAATAAAAAAAATAAAAAAAATAATAAAAAGAGATGGAAAAAAAATTTTGAGTAAGTAAAAATGAGGTAGAATAACCCAGATTTTAATAAACAAATTCAAATTTGAAAAGAATCTTTCTAATTCTCGAAACTCCTTTATAATTTTATGGTTCATGTCGAAGTTTCACAAAAGTAGCGAAGGAGTCCAAATACTATACTTTTCATAATCACAAAAGTGAATGATCATAGTTTTATTCTCTTACTAGATTTGATAGTGAATTATGAGAGATTTTTACAATATCCGTTTGTGTATTTTCAGATTCATTTATATTGATATGTCGCAAAATAACAAACAATGGACGTGATAAAATATGAAAATATCCGGCTTTATTACTGCGATTCACCAAACAGTGGATAGGATATGGCAAAATCCTTGAATTTCATATCCTATCCTATCCAATCCTACCCTGACTAGAAATCTAGACGATCAAACACAGCCTAATGGTATTTAATTTCCAGTTCATCCTGGACACTGGTATTTTTTACCTGTATTTCTTTTATAATCGTTAATGTCTTTCCTTCAGATTCTCAATTAATTTTTATTTGCAGGAGCCCTGTTTATCTCTGTACCTATGACTCCAGCTTTTGAGTTTGCATTCGAGTGTTTGACTTAACTAGTCATGTCTTATGGGATACATGGTGCAGCAAATTGTTCTCCTATCCTTTTCTTTGCATGCTGCTTATACTTCAAGTTCTTCTCTAATAAAGAAGAGGGATGTCATACGTTTGTAAAAATCAGTATGGAGTATGGGGAATTGTCTGATCTTCCAGATGTGATGGAATCTTCTTAAATCTAGTCCTATATCGCGCTTGCATATGTAAAATGAACAAAGTGTCGCGCTTTGGAACAAGATATTTCACTCAATGTATTTTTTCATCCTTTCTACATGCAGCTTGAAGGAGAGGCAACTGCTCGTGCTATTCGTTTGGCTGCTTTTGTGAACACACCTCTTTACGTAGTTCATGTAATGAGCATTGATGCCATGGAAGAAATAGCAAAAGCTCGTCAGTCAGGTAATTAATAATTTTTAGCACCACAATACTGTGCAGCAATGTCATTTCCTCTTTCTCCAAGACACAGTAATCTGATGTTTCATCAATAGCTTTTTTCTTCATTAAAACTGTGATACGTTAGTACGTATGGTTGGGTGACATAATATGATGGTTTACCAAACAATCATTATGCCAATATTTCTCCCGATGTTATCCAAGTTCTTAATTTTTGTATTATCTGGGAGATTCAATTTAAGCAATTGAGCTATGCCCTCTTTCTGGAGACATCCCTCGAAGATCTTAAAGAGTTTATAGAGGAAGTAGTTCCACATTCCTCTTTACTGTATCGATGTTTGTCTTTGCTTCCCATTCCTTCCTGTTTCCGTGTTGCACACAAGGGATGAAAGTTTGTTTCTTCTGTATACATTACTGTCCTCAGCGGACTTCCAAGAGCACTGAATTGGCAAGATAGGCATTGTTGATCATAATACAGGGTCACCTAATTGTTGAACTTCTTTTTGATTGCCCACATTTTTTGTGGTTCTCTTTCCATGATTTGAGGTGAAACATTTATCCCTACTTTTTGAAATCTGAACATCTCCATTTAATAAAGAAGATAAGGTGCTAGTGCACAGATTAAGATGCGTGAAAGAGATGAGTAAACGTTTCTCTCGAATATTACTCAGAAAAAAGTTTTCCTTCAATATATTTTCAGTCCTCTGTTTCTTTTTTCTTTTTACAACACTTCATAAACTCTTCAAATGTTTTCTCACCCTACCTGAAAATGAAATCACCTGATTTTTTTTTTCTCAAACTAATCTGTCACTTCTTAACCTTGATGAACTGTGTAGTCTACTATGGGAGTCATAGGATATTTGTAAACTGCAGGGCAGAGGGTTATTGGAGAGCCAGTGGTTGCTGGATTGGTCCTGGATGATTCTAAGCTTTGGGATCCCGATTTCATCACTGCTGCAAAGCAAGTTTCCTTTCTTTCACTTTATATGCTTGGTTGTTCTTTTCGGCACGTATTTGCCTGTTATCTAGCCATATCATTGAATGATGCTCTTTACATTTTAGATATGTTATGAGCCCACCGATTAGAGCGGCAGGGCATGACAAAGCTCTTCAAGCAGCTCTTTCCACAGGAATCCTGCAGGTTACACTCTTAATTGGAAAGAGGTTTTCAAGATATTTATGTGGGGATAAGGCACAAAATATTTTCTGATCTTTGGATTTGTTTTTGACAAATATTCAGCTCGTAGGGACTGATCATTGTGCCTTCAATTCTACACAAAAATCTCTAGGAATCGATGATTTTCGAAATATCCCAAATGGCGTCAATGGTAATCATCAGAAGTCTTCTCCCTTAAGTTCGTTCAAGCTTGTCCAGTAAGCTGTTGTTCTGTCTCACATCTCAATTTGGTATTTTTTTTGGAGGTATTGAGGAGAGGATGCATCTTGTCTGGGATACAATGGTGGTAAGCAGCAATTGCCAACTGCCTCCTTTACTCATTCTTGAACCTTTTCAACAAATAGACTGTTTATGATGGTTGTAGGAATCTGGAAAAATTTCTGTCTCTGATTACGTTCAGATAACAAGCACTGAATGGTATGTTTTTATTCTCCTGTTTAAAATCATGGACAAATTCAGACATGTCGATGGCTATCTGAGACGTATATTGTCCTTGTAACATGAACAGCGCTAGGATCTTCAATATATACCCCAGAAAGGGAGCGATTTTTGTGGGGTCTGATGCCGATATAATCATTCTCAATCCCAATTCAAGCTTCGAAATTAGTGCAAGGAGCCACCACTCTAGATTAGATACAAATGTCTTTGAGGGAAAGAGAGGGAAAGTAAGTATTCTCTTTGTTGCGATCTCTCTCCATTCACTGCTATCTTAAGTCTTTTTGTGTGCCCTTTTTCTCCTTCTGCCCATATCTGCTGTATATTGGCATCCTGAATCCTGCAATTGTAGTTGAGTTTATCTTCATGGCATCTAAACCTTGTTAGACCATGTATGAGTGTAACCTTGCGCTATTATTTTTTCTAGGGAAAGGTTGAAGTTACCATTGCAGGAGGAAGGATTGTTTGGATTAATGGTGAACTCAAGGTTGCTCCTGGCTCAGGCAAGTATGTGAAAATGCCACCTTTCAGTTATCTTTTCCAGGGAATGGACAAGGCAGATGCTGCGCATCTCTCATCCCTTCGAGCTCCAGTAAAGAGACAAATATCTACAGCGTAACTTGCTACTACTTCTTGGGCAATCTATGGAGAGAGACTCCATATAAGGTGTTGTTGACTGAAGCTGCTTAGTTGTCATCAGACTCGATGCCTCAAGCAAGTACTCAACCAAAAAGTTACGGGAAGGATGGAACAAAAAAACGGGCGCGAGACATGACTTGTATCAATAGATGGTACCATTTCGTAGGCTTTTCTGTAAATAGTTGAAGGATGATGTGTTCCGATAAAGCAATAAAGGCCACGATGCGAATGGATCTCTGACTAATTAGCCGCTTTTCTTCGAAATATGTTTAAGATGTAAGCAATGTAATGGTACAATAATTGTATGTATATGCGGTGAACTTTCTATGAGGTCCCTGTCTCCATGGATGCACTCACTGATCAGAGCTAAGGTGTCCGGTGTTATCTGTTAAGGGCCTACTTGGTATGACAGAGCACCATAAGAAATTGCTCTCTTTACAAGGGCTTCTTGCCATCTGCAAGGCCTGTTTGGCAGGTCTTCCGCAGACTTTTGGATTCATTGGTGAAACAGGGGATATTATACATGAGCCGAGCCCGGTATATGTACTGAATTGAATTTGGAACCGTATGAAAATGGTGGGTCTCATGTGGGCCTCATGCGAGCCGAGGGCCCAGATTCAATTGAGTACGTGTATCGGATTCATTTAATAATTTCCCCTTGGTCAAATCTTACTCTCAGCCACATAGTAACTACCATAGGAAAGGGAAAAGCGCATGAATCGCATCTCTTGATTAATCATGACATCTAGGAAAAAATGCTCGACATATTACAACTAGTCTGTTATATATTTTTATCGACAACTCTATCGACAAAGTGTCCTGGTGCTCAATCATTTCCTACTTGATTGGGAGTAGACGAGTAACATGGTCATCCCTCCATGAACAAAAAACAAAAAATAGTAACAAGAAAATATCTCTGGCCCGCGCGCGATGTGATGTCCCAGAACATGAGGTCTGAATCTGGTCTGGTCCCCAATCATGGGGACAGTGATCCAAGCAGAAGCAAGCGGATCAGTCCTTAGAGTCAGAGGCTCCTATGAAATATCTCTCGGCCCCTCCCCTGCACGTCCCACTTGCAGAGGCTCAAAAGAGCATGACTGGTATGGAGTCGCGCCTCGCCGTGCTGCTTCTGGCGATATTATTTGCCACGTCTCTGACCGCTTCGTCGGAGTCGAGCCAGGTGCGTACATGCCACTGTTGCCCGCCTGGATCATCTTCTAAGTCGTTATGTGCACTTGGGACGTAGATAACTGTATAGTAGAGTTACCATTTTTACGTATGTATCAACGGTTTGAGAATTGGTTGGGACATTCACGAGAGCACCTCGTCTAATGAGTAACCGTTTGGTTCGGTTTGGCGAGTGCCTCGGGCCGAGAAAGAAAGAAACCGGTGCACCACATGAGCATGACACATGACCGCGACCGCTTTTATGACCCTTTTTAGCTGGAACAATGCTAGCCATTAAGATTTAGTATAAAACAAGTATGGTCACCGTGCCTGTGCAGTACTGCGATGCTGGAAACGGGTATGGAGAGCCCCAGTGCGGGGTTTCCTCGGAGGGGTCGCCACTGAAGATCTTGATAAAGGGAGGCACAGTGGTGAACGCTCATGGGGCGGAGGTTGCCGATGTTTATGTGGAGGATGGGATCATTGTCGCCGTGGAGCCTTATATCAAGCAGGTGATTTCCAGCTTCTGCTTCATTAGTATTTCATAACTTCTCAGCGAATTAGTCCTTTCCCTCAATTATAAGACACAACAAGAAAAAGATAACACGCCGCCTCGACGCATACAGAGATGCGAGCAGAAGTTATGAAAACATTTATTGGCATAGAATAGATTCGAAAGGATTTTGGAGACTTACGAATTCGAAATTGAATAGAGATAGTTTGTATTGGAGCAAAAGATGGGGAAGTGAAATGTTCATACGTATCTGGCCAAGAAAATACGTATGTGATTATGCATGTTTTGATTGTTAAGCATGCACATTGTGACACAAAGCAAATATTAACGATAGAGAATTTCAGAGTTAGCTTTCTTTTCTTTTTTTTCCTATTTTATAAACTTATAGAGGTTAGAAGATACTACTTCCTTCATGCAAACAGTTGGAACGATAGTACAATGTTCAGCTAAAATTATCGATGAATGTATATATGGTACACCAAACTACTGATTTGGTGGTTAGCACAGGTTCTAACGCTAGTTTCTTATATTTTGTTTCTCAGGATACTGTTAAATTTTTCAAAATATATGCATTTGGTCCGCGAACCTGTGATTGGTGTAATCGAGTCTTTGCTCTGTAGAATTTTCAATCGAGTCACTCGATCACTGATTTGGGCAAATTAAAGCTTATATATCTGTCGAAAACTATGAGCAGGTGGGTGATGATGTGACCATCCTTGACGCTACAGGGAAGTATGTGATGCCAGGTAGAGTTTATAGTGGCTCTGCATTTTTTTTCTTTGTTGCATAATTTGTATGCAGAAGTTTTTCAATACGTTATATTTTTTAAGTCCATAGAACAGTGTAAAGGGAAGAAGAATTATGCACTGTTTAACCTTGTATCTCGCTGCATTGTGTGCAAGATAGCCTGGTTCTGCTTACAGAAAGCTTTCTTGAGTATGTATTCACATCTCAGTCGATTGATTACACATCATGGCTTTTCTATGGCTGATTCATCGATTTCAAGGTGGTCCAAATTTCAGGCATGTCATTGCACGTGCAATTTTTTGCGACAATTTGATCAAGGTGGTTATCTGTCATCTTAACCGTATTTCAGGAGGAATCGACCCGCACACTCACCTTGATGTGGAGTCCATGGGGAACAAGGCGGTTGATGACTTCTTCAGTGGTCAGGCTGCAGCTTTAGCTGGCGGGACGACAATGCACATCGACTTCGTAAAACCGCTCAACGGGAGCTTAATTGCGGGCATCGAAGCGTATCAAAAGAAAGCAAAGAAGTCTTGTATGGATTACGGTTTCCACATGGTGATTTACAAGTGGGACGAAGTCGTCTCTCAAGAGATGGAAGTCGTGGTAAATGAGAAAGGTGAGTGGCAAGGCTGCTGGTGCTTGCGTGCGTGTGGTTCTCGACTGTCGATGTCCCTTTTCTTATGCTTCCGAAGAAAAATTGCAGGTATCAATTCTTTCAAGTTCTTCATGGCCTACAAAGGGCACCAGATGGTCAACGACGAGGTCCTGTTGCAAGGAATGAAAAAATGCAAGTCCCTGGGTGCATTGGCGATGGTCCATGCTGAAAACGGCGATGCCGTTTCCGAAGGCCAGAACAGAATGATCGAACTCGGTATTACTGGACCGGAAGGACACGCTCTCTCGAGGCCCCCAGTGGTAAAATTTGGCGTCTTTTCTTTTACGGCTGAGTGAACTCCAATTTGGCTTAGATTATAAATCCTAGAAAATCCCAAACTTTTTGTGTTCGCGATGTTCAGAACAATTAAGTTCTTTAATAGGGGAATGCAACTAGTCATTTTCTGATTCCAATAGATATGCAAACAACAGCAACACATTCTATTCCCGTTTCTTTTTTAGCATGGCTACTTCTTCAAACAAAGAAATCAAATCACAGCGTAACAACTTTTGAACCTCGGGTTAAGTTATTATAGCGAGTAGACTCGTAATTATATACAATTCATCCTGGAAACCAGTGTTTTCTTATATCGTCGTCTCCTTAAATGCTCGTCTTGCCTTTACGTCTCAAGTAAAATAATCTGCAGGCTTCTGTCAATAGTTATACCCGAAAGCCCTGCCCTTTTAGTTTAAGTGCAACAGTTCAATTCTAACTGCTAAATATGGTATAAACGCAGTACTGTACCATTCCCCGAGATGTTGTCTATCGTGAAGATTGTCTTCTTTAATAAGGAATAAAGATTCATGCCCGTGTAAGCTCAGCCTTAAATATGTGGAACCTCTGGATCTCTCAAATGCAATGGTATCTCAACTTAAGTCCTAAATCACACTTAAACTTCTGTGAAGAGAATTTCAGCACTTGTGGAAATGGAACAAGATATGTCGCATGTGTGTATCACCATCTTTTGCATTTGCAGCTTGAAGGAGAGGCAACTGCTCGAGCAGTTCGTTTGGCTGGTTTTGTGAACACACCTCTCTATGTTGTGCATGTGATGAGCATTGATGCCATGGAAGAAATAGCAAAAGCTCGTCGGTCAGGTACTTCATAATTTCAGGACGACAACATCTTTACGGAAATAATATGTCAGCAACAATATCGGTTCTTTCTCAGTGATCTCACGTTAACTAAGTTTTCAGACAATCATCGTGCCAAAGAATTTTGCTTCCATTGCTTCCTGTTTTACACAGGTCCCTCTTTTCTGTTTAGATGCTCTTCAAATTTCTCATTTTTCGTCCCTTGAGAAACAAAATAATCTTATTCTTTGTACAACCTAAATCTACAATCCAGCAGTCACAGGATATCTGTAAACTGCAGGGCAGAGGGTTATTGGAGAGCCAGTGGTTTCTGGATTGGTCCTGGATGATTCCAAGCTATGGGATCCCGATTTCATCACCGCCGCAAAGAAAGTTTCTGCTCTCTCATTTTCATATGCTCACTTTTTTCTTTCTTATTGTGATCCCAAAGCGCTTGTCATATAGCCGTGTCATTGAATTGTGCTCTTGGAATTTCAGGTATGTCATGAGCCCACCGATTAGGTCAGCAGAGCATGGCAAAGCTCTTCAAGCAGCTCTTTCGACAGGAATTCTGCAGGTTGCGCTCTAAATTAAGCCTACTGTGCGAAAATATTCAACTTAAGATGCGGATTGTTTTTCTGATCATGGATTTTCTTTTGCCGACATGCAGCTCGTAGGAACTGATCACTGTGCCTTCAATTCTACGCAAAAAGCTCTAGGAATTGATGATTTTCGAAAAATCCCAAACGGCGTTAATGGTAATCATAGGATGTCTTCTCTAAGTTAGTTAAAGCTGATCCAGCTAAGCTGTTTATTGTTCTGTCTCACACCTCAATTTGTGGTATTTGGAGGTATCGAGGAGAGGATGCATCTTGTTTGGGACACAATGGTGGTAAGAAGCTACTGTTACTTGCATTTATCTAGTCAATCTCGAACCTTTGCAACCGAAACACTGCTCATTAATGTTTGTAGGAATCTGGACAAATCTCTATCTCTGATTATGTCCGGATAACGAGCACCGAGTGGTATGTTTTTGTTTTGTTTCTTTTTCTGATGAATGAGTTCCAGATATGTCGGTGGCTATCTGAGAAACTTATGTTCTTTGAACACGATCAGTGCTAGGATCTTCAACATTTACCCGAGAAAGGGAGCGATCCTTGCAGGGTCCGATGCTGATATAATCATTCTCAACCCAAATTTGAGTTTTAAGATCAGTGCCAGGAGCCACCTCTCTAGATCAGATACAAATATCTATGAGGGAAGGAGAGGGAAAGTAAGTTTTATTTCTGCTAGGATCTCTCTCCATTCACGACTAACACATTCCATATCTTTCTGTCTTATCCTGCAACTTTTTCTCCTTCCGCCCATTTCTCCTTCTGTCCATTCTTAGATATCGTGACCATTACGAGCTTAAGCGCAACAAAATTGTGTTTTCCTTTTCCAGGGAAAGGTCGAAGTGACAATTGCAGGAGGAAGGATCGCTTGGATGGGTGGTCAGCTCAAGGTCGCTCGTGGTTCCGGCAAGTATGTAGAGATGCCACCTTTTGGTTATCTGTTTGGGGGAATGGACAAGGAAGATGCTAGATATCTCTCGTCCCTTCGAGCTCCAGTAAAGAGATGAAGATCGTGTGCATAACCTAGAGGTACTTTGAACTCTTAAGAGACGAACACGATATTCAAACAACGCATGAGCATGAACAATGTACAGGTTTAATATGTCTCTGACATATGTGAATCGCTCTCAGGCACTGGTGACTGAAACTGCTTAGTTATCATGTGGCTTGACACGTGAAGTTAGTGCCGAAACACTAGGTTTCCCGGAGCACTCATTGCTCTAGTACGTGTACTGAATGCCTGAACGAGTAAAGTCACGTGTTCAAGTATGGTATCATTTAGGTATGCCTTGTGATGTGACGCAACAAACGATGTATGTTTCGAAATTCCAGATTGCTAATATGCCAAGTGGAACTCGTGTTTGAAATTGATGACGGTCCGGGGATTAGTGTACTAGTACAAAGATTTCGTTCTGAATGAAAAAAGGTACATAAAACTCTGTTAGAGATCACAGAAACTTACGATAAGTCTCTACAGATGGACACGATCTCATTCTATTATTTTACAGGGATAACTTGCTACAAGAGAGCGGTCAGCTCTTAAAGACTGGCTTTGGTCGAAGGTTTGAACCGGGAATCACGGCTTGATACAGCAGTTAATGTAGGTCAGGATCTTCTTTTTCTTCTGCACGCAGTAAACATAGAAGATTAGAAGCATGCCATCACATCTGTTTCTCTTCGAAAAAATATATTTCTTCGTGCATCATCTGGCAAACGGATTGCAAGTAATTATTGCTAGTGAAAGTGCCGCCCTGCCTATTAAGGTCAGTGTGCATTTGACTGAAGGGATACAGACATAAAATGAGACGGAGTTCCCTGTTTCACTGAATGAAGATCACTTTCCCGAAGAGTATCGATGATACAGTTCTAGTTAGTAAGCTAAGAGCATTGACAACAGAGTTTTGCAATAGTTTGGAATTGGATGGTGCCTTACCATGACCGGGTCGTCCTGAGGATAGGCGGCCATCAACTCTTTCTCGTTCCCAAAGCTCGCGCGGCTGATGTCGCTCTTGTGCTGCTTCCTGTTTGCACGGGCACGAGTGAACACCATGGAGTAATCCGTTGCTCCCGGGGCCTTATGATCCCAACCCCCAAACTGAGGGACGGACAAATAGCCATTTTGCTGCAAATAGGACCGTTTTTCAAATCAGTATGTCTATCTTCAGGAGATTATAGCCATATCTTCTAGCGACCATAAAAATTTTCATGGCCCATTTCAGTCGATAATCTTCTTCACGGTATCGAGTTTTGGTCATTCCGGTCCACTTATCAGTTAAATGTCCTCTCAGCGAACGCACATTAACCAATCCCTGACCAAGAGTCCTGGTCTCGGGAGTAACTACTGCATGCTCCGCGACAGAAGTTCATCTATTTTAATTAAAACTAATGACCCAACCAAAACAAAACTACTATATCATCAGGAGTCTGCAAAATTATCCGACATTCTAGATTCGAGATATACATAATCATCAGCTCTTAAGGTTCTATTTGAGCGTAGTTAGGACGCTTCAATTCAAGAGGTATCATAGTCGATTCCCTAAACTTCGATCATATCCATGCTGATCATCCAACACCGCCAACGGCGATAATATTATTCACTGAAATAAACCCGGATAGATCTAACAGCCAACCCTCGCGCTACTACTGATCAGGATTATGACATCCCTTAGCCAAAGGACAGTAAATTCGTGAATTTGCCTTAAAACTTTCGGAAATCAGACCTTACAATACCAGCAGCACCGAACGTGTGAGAAATGAAACAAGGAGAACTGTCATAGTTAACCACCGGGATTCAATGACGAGTTAGTCATAGATGAATGATAATACGAAGTGATTCGTATCAATGAATATCTGATCGAGCTTCGGCCTTACCTCCATTCGAGCTTCCATGACGGCAAAAACCCAGGAGAGAGAGAGAGAGAGAGAGAGAGAGCAAAGAAGCTCTGGTTCTTCGTCTTTATAAACACGGGATATATAGAAGAGGGATGTCTATCCATGAAGAACAAGAATAGGAAGGCGACAAGTTGGCGTTTCCTCAGGACAAACGTACGCTAAAAACTTCATCTTGGCCCAAACAGATGTGCCAGCTTTTCCAAGGCTGTCAAGCCAACAGAATTAACGGCTTTTCCGTAAAAAGTTAGTTCAACCAAGATCACCCTAAAATCAGTAAAAAACGCACAGTTTTACTGAGGCTTTCCTGTTATAGGCTTTCGACGGCTCTCACGTTCCATCGAAATTTGACCCAAATTAGAGGATTCACCCTTTATTACCTCGCTAATTTTGGGATCGTATTTTCCTCTGTCTCTGGTTGGAGAAACCCGACGAAGCCTCGGGTTGATGCTTATATCTGTATCCACTTAATCGGGAAAACTTGGCCGGATAGTCTCCTTCGACCAGGAATGGAAGAAGATATCGTCCACAAGCTTTTTCTGTAACTTAGATAAGAAACGGGCAGGAGTCCGTCCGACTACATGGCCTGAACCCGACTTTGCTCGCGCTCGGCTATGTTAGTAAACCTTACGTCTTGATTTCTCTTTCTTGCATTCACTCTTTATTTTCATTGTTTCTGCGCGCCTAATCCTAACACACGGGAGGGCAATGAACCCGGCGTCATAGCCAGACTCAGATTATGGATAATGTAGTCGATAGAAACAATCCTAAACTTTGAAATGTCCCAGAAAAAGACATATAAAAGCCTATGCCAATGCAACAATTTTGGTCCAAACATCCCCAAGAGAGGCATATATACTTATGCCAACGGGACGATTTTGACCTCTGCTGCCTTTGTCGTCCCTAAGTGTCGTTCAATTGTTAATCTATCAATTCGCGGAGAGTCCACAGGGAACAAGACGAAGTCATTTTTGATTAATCTATGCAATGGAATCTATCGGAAGCAATAAAGAGCATGTCGGATCATCACGGTGATGTAGTATTGTTTCGCTTTGACAACTATTACCAAAAAAAAGGAGATAATAGCCCAAAAAGCCTAAATCTATTGTACGGCAGCCAAGTCGGTCTTAAATCTTTTAATTGTGTCAATTCAGTCCTCAAACTATTGCACGGCACCCAATTTAGTCCTAAACTTTTTAATTGTGCCAATTTAATCATAAATCTTTTGACAACTTGCCGAATGTAGTCTTTCCGAATAATTTTGACTGAAAATCGGGGGAAATTATCAAATCAGTCATAAACCTATTGTACGGCGGTCAATTCAGTCATAAACCTTTTAATTTTGCCAATTCAATCCTAAACCTTTCTAATTCTTGCCAATTCAGTCCTTCCGACCAATTTTGGCCGGCCGACGCTGACGTGGCAATTTTTTATTATTTTTTTTTTTCAATTTTTTAATCTTTTTTTTTCTTTTTTTTCTGCTTTCTTCCTCTTGCAGGTCCGGCGACCGGCGGCCAGCCAGAGGGGAGGGCCGGCGAGGTCGACCTCGCCGGCCTCGCTGCTGCTGAGGCGAGGCCGACCTCGCCGTCGCCTGGTTCGCGACGGCGAGGTCGAGCCTCGCCCAAATCTGGCGAGGCTCGACCTCGCCGTCGCGACCTGTGCGACGGCAAGGTCGAGCCTCGCCAAATTTGGGCGAGGCTCGACCTCGCCGTCGCGAACCAGGCGTCGGCGAGGTCGGCCTCGCCGTGGCCGGGCCTCGCCTCGCCGTCGCCTCGGTTCGCGACGGCGAGGCCGAGCCTCGCCAGGATCCGGGCGAGGCTCGACCTCGCCTTCACAACCCGGGTGTCGGCGAGGTCGGCCGCGCCGCTGCTGGGCCTCGCCTCGCCCCGCCCAGCAGCAGCGAGGCCGACCTCGCCGTCGCGAACCAGGCGACGGCGAGGTCGGCCTCTCCTCAGCAGCGGCGAGGTCGACCTCGCCGGCCCTCCCCTCTGGCCGGTCGTCGGACCGACCAGAGGAAGAAATCAGAAAAAAAAAAAAAAAAAAAGATTAAAAAATTGAAAAAAAAATAATAAAAAATTGCCACGTCAGCGTTGGCCGGACGGCCGGCGGCCACGTCAGCGTTGGCCGGATGGCCGGCGGCCACGTCAGCGCCGGCCGGCCAAAATTGGCCGGAAGGACTGAATTGGCAAGAATTAGAAAGGTTTAGGACTGAATTGACAAAATTAAAAGGTTTAGGACTGAATTGGCTGCCGTACAATAGGTTTATGACTGATTTGACAATTTTCCCCTGAAAATCGTGATGGTTTGGGCAAGGCCAGCCTCGTCGGCCATGAGCGAGACAGCCTTGTCCAGATCCAGGCGAGGGCCTGACAACCCTCTCCCATTGGCCGGCGAGGCCCTGACGACCCTCATTGGCCACAATAAGAAAAAAGGAAAAATAATAAATAATAAATAATTCAATAAATATTAAAAATTGTCCATGTCAATACCGGTCGTGCCATGTAGGACGTCTAGGGCACGAATGACAACATTTCTCTTTCCCGGCCCTATTTTTGGCTAAAAATTAAAAAATCTATTTCTTTTTCTCGAACGAGTTTCTGAGCAAAAAGTAACGTTTGATAACGACACAAAATTTTTATTTCCAGAATAGAATTTTATTTGATAACGACGCAAAATTTCTATTCCCGCCGGCCAGTGAGCGGCGGCGAAAGGCCGGCTAGCGCCGGGGGAGGGGGGGGGGGGGGGGTGTGGACAGCCGGTGAAAGGCAGCGGCGGCAGGTGGTGGCAAATGGCCGACAGCCGACGGCGAGTGGGAGGCACTGGGCGGCAAGGTTGAGCAATAAAAGAGAGTTGTCGTTTCTATTTCTGGACCGCAGTAGAATGGGCCCTCGCCGAAATGCTAAAGAACCCTAACATTCTCGAGAGGGTTCATGAGAGATGGACCGCGTCATCAGGAGGGACAGAAGATTGCAAGAGTCCAACATCCTGAGGCTCCCTTACCAACAAGCCGTCTACAGGGAGACGTTCCTCCTGAACTCGCCCCGATGCTGCCACGGATATCGGCCTGCCCGTGCAGAGTGAACGGTTACTTCGTGCCCAAGAAAACAAGCCTCGTGGTGAACATTGGTTCACTCCTTTGAATGGAGGCTTCCGATGAGTGGTGTTGAGATGAATATGGATGAGCTTTCGAGTCTATCTATCAAACCAACACGTTGTCTTCCTGTTTCTCTTCATCAAACCAGCACGTCGTCTTCCTGCTCGCCTCTGAAGCAAATTAAGAATTAGGGCTTGCATCTCTCTCTCTCTCTCTCTCTCTCTCTCTCTCTCTCTCTCTCTCTCTCTCTCTCTCTCTCTCTCTCTCTCTCTCTCATCGCAAATTAGCGCTTCAATCTTCCCCAATACTTCATCTCTAAAGCAAATCGAGTTGTCACTCGCACTCTTTTCCTCTTCTTCGTCTCTAAATCTCTTAAGCAAATAGGGCTTGTCGTGCGATGAACTTGGCTTTGTTCTTAAATTCGTGAGCCGCTTCTGCTGCATCTACTCTTCATTGCGAATTTGATGAGATGATCCTAATTTGAAGAATTGGAAATCGTGGGTTCAGTTAGGGTTAGGGTTAGGGTTCTTGAAGGTTAAAAATTTGGAGTTTGCCCTAATTTGTTGACGTAAGGATAGGTTCTTTGATTTGTTGAGTCCTACAACGTTGTTTGGTAGCTCAAATGTTAACTTCAACTAGTCGGCACGCCACATCGGATGGTTTAATTTATTTTAATGCCACGTTGGATTTTCTGGCAAGGCAAATCACCGATGGCACTTCAATGATTGATTTTTTAAATTTGTGACAGTAAGTAAAAGAGAAGTTATGATACTCCTTCTGTTCTTATTCCAAGGATGCAGCATAGTGTATGTTCCACTGATTGAGGAGATACCTCTCTTAAAAGGGTGAAAGGAGCAACAATGCAATCTCATCCCTAAACTTAAGACTTTTCAGTTCAATGTTGCTCTTGAATTTTTATTTTTTTCCCAATCAAATCTCTAGGTTCCCGATTCTTGTAAATCAAAGTTGACTTGTCGACCTGTGCCAACCAACGAGGAAAATATCCTTGCCATTGTGGATTTTCGATCTACCCCAACCAAACTGTAGTGATAATTACCTAGGACATAAGCCTGTCATTGTACATAAAAATCCTCGATAAAAGAGCTTCACGAGTTATAGGCCAATTATATAAGTTTGGTGGTTTCTCCCTAATGAAACTCCCTTGTCATGTTAATGAGCTTAACTTCTTCTTCTTCTTTTTTATCTATTCTACTCTAACTCTTAACAACCCACGCCTGAAACTAAACGACCCCACCCCTAATCCCTTGAGAAGGTGGGGAATCGAACTTCCCACCTCCTCTTCTCTAATAGGAAGGGTACTGGCCACTAAGGCAAACCTCAGTAGTTGAGATGAGCTTATCTAAACGGCACAAAATTGTAACGTTTCATTGTTAATGAAGCTCGATAAAATAAGGAGGTTTCGTTCAACAAAATCAAGTATTGAATTCGATCACCTAATTTACCTACTTGAGGTTATGACATCACACCATCAATGAAAAATTAGGTACACGGTCATTAATGACTCTGTGTATTTTCTTTTCTCTTTTCTGGCAACCTTGCCATTCCATTTGCTACAAAATCAATATTGTTTTTCCTAATGTTGGTCTTTTCTTTGGAAAGGGAATATAAAAAAAGGATTGCTAATCAAAGCAAACAAAAATTGGTAATCAACAGAAAAGTGGATAAAACATATATAAAAAAAAAGAAGCAATTAATTGTTTGTAAGTGTTTCAAATGATGATTGGTAATATAATCTAACAAAAATTGGTAAGTTGCTCTATTTTAGGTTGGCAATTTCATATAATATGGTATATTCAAATCGTTAGTAAATTATGTAATTAGTGCAAAAGTTGCTAATTTGCAAACTAACAAGAAAAATTTGGTAATTTCACAAAAATATTGGTGAATTGCCAATAGTTTACCTGAAAAAAAAAAAAGTCGCCGGTCCTTTTTCTTTACTAAAGATTTTTTGATATTTACCAACACTATTAATATTTATCAGCACGAAAAAAAAAAAACCCGTATTTACAGAGACTAGAGAATTGTGCGACCTTAATTTGTGCATTTCTCATGCGTACGTTGCTCTGAATGTGCAATGACTTAAAAAGTTTATTGCTAGCCCGATCTAAATGAGTTGGGGAAATAATCGAGGCCAAGAATGATTGGTTTGAAACATGACGAATCTGCGAGATTACCGAATCTCGCATTAATTTTGGGACACATATAAAGTTGTATATAATAAGGTCGAGGTCTACTAATTCCGATCATCGTTTTCATAGTAAAAATCCTCTCGTATTCAGGCCGATCCTCATGTACGCTCGACTTTTTCGCTAGCTACGATCGATCTATCTCTATTACGTAACAAAACACTGGCCTTTGTGGAAGTCCCGGTCCGAGCCCGTATGCTTGGAGTTGTGTAGATATGAATCTCAGACAAAGGTGTTAGAATTAAAGTCTCATTTTCTCTTCTGGCGACGTTGAGATCTTGAAAGTCAACAGTAACTCTTGGGGGAAGAAGTAACTATGATTTGCTAATTCTCCAGCTGCTTATCTATCAACAAATGTTAAATCAAAACCCCTCATCTTATTTTTCAGTTAGTCCTATAAATTGAGTATATTTGCGAAGGAGACACATAACACATGCACTATTGTCCATAGTTGCAACACCATACACAGTTGATAAAATGGTGACCATCAATGAATTCCTCGTCCGTGAGATCATCTCGGCGATGTTGGTCTGCATAGTCACCTGCTTATTCATCCGCTCGCTCCTCAGAAACCTCTCTCGAAAGCTCCCCCCGGGGCCGAGAGGGTGGCCGATCGTCGGGGTGCTTCCCCTCCTAGGAACCATGCCCCATGTAACCCTAGCAAAGATGGCCAAAAGGTATGGGCCGGTTATGTACCTGAAGATGGGCACTTGTGACATGGTGGTGGCATCGACCCCGGATGCGGCTCGGGCGTTCTTGAGAACCCTAGACATGAATTTTTCGAACCGCCCACCGAACGCTGGCGCGACCCACATGGCATATAACGCTCAAGATATGGTTTTTGCCGATTATGGGCCAAGATGGAAGTTGCTTAGGAGGCTGAGCAGCCTCCACATGCTCGGTGGCAAGGCCCTCTACGAATGGACCGATGTCCGGGCGGCTGAGCTCGGCCACATGCTCCGAGCGATGTATGAATCAAGCGGGCAGGGCGAGCCGGTGGTGGTGCCTGAGATGTTGACCTATGCCATGGCCAACATGATCGGCCAAGTGATACTGAGCCGCCGCGTGTTCGCGACAAAAGGGTCCGAGTCGAACGAGTTCAAGGACATGGTGGTGGAACTCATGACCTCCGCAGGCTACTTCAACATCGGCGACTTCATACCGTTGATTGCGTGGATGGATTTGCAAGGGATCGAAGGAGGAATGAAGCGGCTGCACAAGAAGTTCGATGCTTTGTTAACGAGGATGATCGAGGAGCATATGGCCACGGCTCGTGAACGTGAAGGCAATCCAGATTTCCTTGACATTTTGATGAACAATTGTCAAGAGATCAATACCGGAAGCGAGACACTCAATTTGACTAACGTTAAGGCTCTTCTATTGGTAAGTTTCTAAGATCAAACTTTCCACTTACTTTATGAGAAGAAATCTTTTTTGAAATCTTTCTTGGATTCCTCTCAATCATCTAGCTAGCTACTAATTTTCCTCTTTACCATACAGTTCACTATGGCTTGAGTTATATATTTTCATTCATCCTTGTTGGACGGTAATGTACACGTTTGTAACCCACACAATCGGAGAGCGTCCTCCGGGTTCTCGCGACTTTACTTGTTCTCGTGTAGTTGCTAGTTAATTGACTTTCTCTTTGGTCCTTTGAGCAGAATTTGTTCACGGCGGGCACAGACACTTCGTCTAGCGCGATAGAATGGGCGTTGGCCGAGATGCTGAAGAACCCTAGCATCTTCCAACGGGCGCACGAGGAGATGGATCGAATCATCGGCAAGCAACGGCGCCTTCAAGAGTCCGACCTATCGAGACTCCCGTACCTGCGAGCCATCTGCAAGGAGTCCTTCCGGAAGCATCCATCGACGCCCCTGAACCTGCCCCGCGTCTCCGCCGAGCCATGCCTGGTGAATGGGTACTACATACCCCAAAACACCAGGGTCAGCGTGAACATATGGGCGATAGGAAGAGACCCGAACGTGTGGGAGGACCCTCTCGAGTTCATTCCCGAGAGGTTCCTCTTGGAGAAGCACGCGGAGATCGACCCGCGGGGGAACAGCTTCGAACTGATGCCGTTCGGAGCGGGGAGAAGGATCTGCGCCGGGGCGAGGATGGGGATAGCAATGGTTGAGTACATTTTGGGGACCTTGGTTCACTCCTTTGAATGGGAATTACCAGATGGAGTGGATGAGCTGAACATGGATGAGACTTTTGGTCTGGCGCTGCAAAAATCTGTGCCACTCTCGGCTCTTGTTAGCCCAAGACTATTGGCCAGTGCATATGCTTAATTCCTGAAGCTTAATTACTTATGTCTGCTGTTAATAGTTATGCCAAGTCCTTTTGAGCTTTTGATTCATCTTCATCTGTTACGGAGTAGGTTTTGTACTATGTTCAGCTTATGCACCTAGGGTTTGCGTACCATAGCTGTGTCTGGACTAACATGAAGTTTATCCACAATATATACACACATATATTTATGGACGTGCGACGTATTTAATACAAGAAGGTACAAAAGATCTGATTTTAAGTGTTTTGAATGAAAATGTCTGCTATATCAAACATATGTATAAAACCCACCAAAAAGTCGATCAAACTTGCCTTTTAAAAGTTCTATTAATTCTTATTCAACTGTCCGAATCACAACGATCTATGCGTATCGATTATAAATAAAATTTCTGTGAAAATATATTCATTGTATCGTATAAAAATAATTAATTTGACAAATTACAGAAACCAATGTCGAAATAAGCATTAAAATTTGGAATTCCTTCACATCCTCGTCAAGAGACGTGAAGCATTGAACCTTAACGACGACGAAGTACGTCGAACATTATGACTTGACAAGGCCTCCTTGAATTGTCATCTTACTTCGCTTTTGTTATTTTTCTTCTTTTTGGCGTTCCACGGATACTCCAAAATCCGACCTCCCATTGCAATGCAATGGTAGTTGTTATCGGAGAAACTCATACCGTCGATCGACGTTGACTTGGCTCGGGTTTGATTACACGGCCTTTGTCGGGGATCTATCTTGCTCTTGGACATGCTGAACGGGTAGACTTGGCTCAAGAAGCATGTCGTCCCCATCGGATCCGCCCAAACGGGCTTACCGGATTTGGTCATGCTCTTGCTCGCGTCACGGGTCTCTGATCCGACAGATGGAATGAAACAGAAGAAGAAACATTCGACGTAATTCCAAAGAAATCTATAGACCAAGAAGTTTGTGCAGGTTAATTACAATTGACGTTGAGAAGATAAAAGCAGAGCAACTTCCTATTCTATAAAACCGAGAACCTCCGCCGTCTCCATCATTCTCTCCAATCAAATCTCATTCAATTTCATCGCTTCGAGACTAATATACAAAGTGCAACACTCTTCTTCTATCACCAAACCTATCAGCATTGATTTCTTATATCTATGTGCCAGTGTACAGTTGCCAAAAACCGATGATATATGCCCGGTCGACAAGAATAATTGTTTCCTGCTTCCCCCTTCCCAAGCACCCGTTTTGCGAGATTAAACAAAGACGTCACGCCTCTTCTTCGGGTTCGGTTCTGGATTTCCTTTTCTCATCATTGCCACGAACTCATCGTAGTTGATCCGACCATCCTGCAAAATTAAAAGAATCGACAGTAGTAGGGTCAGTATAGGTTCATGATAAAAGATGAGAGTAATCAACCAAAACTAGGAGCGTATTTTTCGGAATTGGGTCTACCCTAATGCTGCATAAATGACTTCTTTATGTTACTCACATTGTCGGCGTCAACTTCAGAGAGAATTTCCTTGATGTCCCTTCCGTCGTGCATGCCGAATTCTCGAAGAGCTTGCTCTAGTTCTTCAGTTGTAATGAACCTGAGTGAGATCAGACGGTTATGAGAAACTGATTTGCATTGCTGAAAAAGATAACTATGGTTACAGATAACATCGATTTCTATGTACAGATATAAGAGGACTAATTGCGACTAAAAGATTCCTACTAAAAGGTGGAACAGATGATGGTAACTAAAACAATACCCGCTGTTATCTTTATCAAAGTACTGAAAAGCCGTGTAGAGATGCTCCTCTCTGTCCATCCGGTTCATGTGCATAGTTGCGGTGATGAACTCATCGTAGTCTATCGTCCCATTACCATCAGCATCGGCCTATTGTCGTTCCCAAAGTTTGAAGGAGCAAGAGACAAAGTAAGAGTGGCGGTATTTGTAAACAATCTCGAGAAATACTTCTGTAGCATCTTGAAGAAAATATTAACCCGCTTGGCTGATTAATTCCTCAATAGTAAATGAAACACTTACTGCTTCCATAAGTTGTTTGACTTCGTACTCTGATAGCCTCGTCCCTTGCTTTGAAAGCCCTTGCTTCAGCTCCTCAAGAGTGATTGTGCCACTGTTATCAGTGTCCATGCCTTTGAACATCTCCTTCAACCCCATTATCTCCTCTTCTGACAGACAACCGGCAATGACCTTGACATTTCAAGAGAAAAATTGAACTTCGATGACCATTCAAAAGTGGCTTAATCATATGATTTTGTACTATATACCATGTGAAAGATGTGCCGTCATGAAAATCCAGCCGATGGTTCTTAATAAGACTTATATGCATGGTATAATAATTTAGACTTAAGCAAACTAGCTTCATTTGACAATGGTGAAGATGGACTACCCGAAGAGCAGCTTTCTTGAACTTGTTCATCGCTCTGAACTGTTTGAGCCGATTCAAAACTGCATTGTCAAGAGGTGTATCGGGTGCTTCTCCATCCTCCTTAATCCAAGGATGACCTGATGAGATCAGAACGAGAGGGATGGTATGTCAGAAAATGCTTTGGATGTTTGAATGGAAACACTTCATTGGGCAAATACTTACTGAGAACTTGGAAGGCGGTCAGCCTCTGCTTAGGGTCAGAATTCAACATCTTCCTAACAAGGTCCTTCGCTCCTGGTGAAATCGAGGGCCATGGATCGCTCGTAAAGTCGAGTTGACCACGTAGGATTGCATTGAAAATCCCGTTTTCGGACTCTGTCGACCAACGTTGTTATATATCAGACTCAAAGCAAGACCTATTTCCAATCATTCATCTGGAAACAAACTTAAAGAAAGTGACGTCGCTTGAAAAAAAGGCAAAACCTGCCCAGAAGGGTGGAACTCCGGAGAGGAGAATATATAGCATGACCCCGATACTCCATATGTCAGCCTCTGGTCCATATCTCCTCTTCAAGACCTCCGGCGCAATATAATATGCGCTACCAACGATTTCCTTGAACACGTCTCCTGCGGATAGAATAGAACCGTCACTACTGTTTTGCAGATGGAACGGAACGAACAATATGAACTCTTATCGATTAGACCAGGACTTGCAAGCTTTTTGATGTCACGTACTCTCTTGTCCAGTTTGCACGATCATCGTGATGAAACTTAAATATAGCCTATTTTTGGAAATTTCTTATCTCAAGATGGTTTTTTTAATCATAATAAACAACAAAGAGACATGCATTTTGTTTCATCTCTTTTCATGATTGGAACTCGTCTTGTCAGTTGGCTCATTTGCATATGTAAGGCATCAGCAGGAAGTTTATGCACTGAAAGATCCAAATTCAAAGCCTGAGAGATATTATCAGCTAAGCAAACAAAATCCTCGACGCAATCCTATTCAAGAGATACATAAACGAGGAATTAACTGCTGACCTTGCTTGAAGAAAACGGACAGCCCGAAATCGGTGGCCTTGAGCGGCGAGTTCTCGTCCTTGTTGAGCAAAAGGAAGTTCTCGGGCTTGAGGTCCCTATGTATGACCCCCATGGAATGGCACGTGTGCACGATCTGGACGATCGTCCTGAGCAACGAGGCCGCAGCCCGCTCCGTGTAATGCCCCTTGGAGATGATCCGGTCGAACAGCTCCCCCCCGGCGCACAGCTCCATCACCAGATGCACCGAGTGCTTGTCCTCGTACGCGCCCTTGAGCTCCACGATATTGGGTTGGCCAGTCAGATGGTACATGATCTGGACCTCCCTCCTGACGTCCTCGATGTCCTCCTTGTTGACCAACTTCCGCTTGGCGATTGTCTTGCAGGCGAATTGCTGGCCGGTCTGCTTGTGGGTGCACAGGTGGGTGACCCCGAACTGCCCCCGCCCTAGCTCCTTCCCGATCGTGTACATCGACTTGACCTCCTCCATGGGGCGGCCGAGGACCGGACCGATGGGGCTTGGCTTGGAGGCCTTGGAGCCGGATGCAGGCGGGGTTGACGATGGGGGCAGGCTCTTAGGCGGGGCGGTGGTCGGGTTCCCCGCCGAGGCAGCACCATCCGGGGTACGGTTGTTCCGGCTCGCGGCCATGGACAACGCCTTGGTGCTCAGGGGATTGGCAGAGCTGCCGCGGAAGCAACAATTGCCCATGGTGGTAATGGAGGTGGAGCAATTGGGAGGAGGAGGAGGAGATAGTGGTGGAGTTGGTTAAGCGTCGAGGGGTGAAGAGGAGGAGAGCTATCCTGAAACAGAGAAACATGCACGCAGAGGGAGAGAGAGAAAAAGGGAGAGGGAAAAAACGATAGGATACAGCTTGGAATGGCGAGGAAGGACGATGGACGTGCAATGCATGTACGTGTTTGTGTGATCGAAAGGACTCTCCAATTTGGGGGTGTCTGTTTTCGAAGTTTGGGAAGAGACTGACTCTGTTTTTTGTCTCCGAGGATGTCGCGGGAAAATACAAAACGGTTTTTTTGGTCTTGTGACACGCACCGTTGGCCCTATCGTTTTTTCTCTCTCTCCCCCTTCCTCCTTTTTCTTTGATAATTCAAAAATGAAACTGTTATCCCGGTTTTAACCCTCAACATCCGAAACTTATTATGAGTCTATGTAGAAATATATGGTTCTTGGCTTCAAAGACTTCATGTCATTAACTCCACTGCATGTCTCATTTGAATAAAATACCTGAGAAGAGCCTCAATTTACACTAGTCCAATAAAAAAAAGGGGAACCCTTACATGAAATTCGTATGGTAAGAGAGCGTATAGTTTTTTTGGCCGCCTTGGTAGAAAAGGGATTCTACACGGAAAGACCGAAAGAGGGTATATTTCTGAGGCTGAAGATACCAAAGTTTGCCTGAGCAAAACCAGTTTAACATTGTGATGGCCAAATCTCAGACAACAAGAGACGGTATTGTGACTGTTAAGGAAGACGAAGCAACTTCGGAGAACCCGGTCTAGGCACTACAAAATTCCACTGACAGCAACTTCAGTAAGTTGGGATTGATGGATCAGCCTTGACAGCATATTCATGAATTCCCCCAGACAAGTTGAATACTCTCTTAAAACCCTGAAAATTTAAGCTCGAAATAATGAGAATAACTTAAATTTTTTACTCAACTCAATACCATGCTCGACGGGCACCACAAATTTGTACGGCTCCGTATAGCTTTCTCCGTCACACGCCATAGACACGCACATATATAAAAACAAATAAACATGGGAGGGAAGGGCTTAAAAGTTTTACCTGTGTCTGCAACCACTTGGCGACTTGCAACGACCGCATTCCATGGTGACACTGCATTATTACAACATCTTACCACATTGGAGAAGGATAGGGCTGTTCAAATCTCTAAAAGTGGAGGCATTACATGACATCTGGCTATATGAATGCATAGTGAAGCAAGAAAATCAATTGGGCCATCCAAGATCTTGTCAAAGGCAATATGGCCAATATCATTCTATCAACATTAATTTTAAGTGAATAATTTTAAACACCATCCAGATTTCCAGAAAAGGCTAGTATGATTTTACAACAAAGCAAAACTAACCTAGGCAATCAACAACATTAAAAAAAAAATCAACAACATTGATTTTGTTATCAAGCAGATTAGCAAAGAAGGAAATTTTTTATGACTTTTTCCCCCTGAGATTAACCATTTCATACTAGGAGGGAGGTTGAGGAGGAGCAAGAGCAGGAAGATCTTACAGAACAGATTGACCTGGCTGAAAAATTTTGAAAGAGTAAATCTATACGAACTAAAAACTGAATACACGCAAATGAACAACTCCAACCATATGAAAGGCTATTGCCTTGTGACTAGCCAGTCGATAAATCTATACATACTAGTCACAGGAGGACAAAGATTCATAATGTATTTTAAAAAATAAATTAGACACCATTACTCTAAATACTGCACTGTTAGACTCTTCACTGGAGTAAATAATCCTAACGGTCGGCAGAAGCAAAGATTGAACTGACCATTACGTAAGTATCCTTCTCAGCATCTAACTTCGTAGTAATTTCTGGTCCCCAACTGCCAAACTGACGAAGTGGAAGAACTTGAAAACCAGACAAAGAAGCCTTGGCCCTGCCACCGATGAGTGACCAATCACTTACAAGCACGGCGCTAAAAGGAAATGAAATAATATTGAGGACTAAACATGCGTGAGCGGAAAAGTTCACGAGTGCAAGAAAAACTGAACACTGACAGTTGAACATGTAAATCAAAAGCACAAATTTGAGAAGTGCAGCAACAGCAAAGGATGACTTTCAAATTGGAAAGCATGATTATTCATGCCTCTGCTTCGGCAAACCAGGTTACTGGCGATTGTTATATTCAGAGAATCTGATTTTTGAAATAAATTTAAATTCACCGATTGCCCGAACCACAAAAGTTTGAAACCCTATGTGCTATCTCACAGCACTTACTCAAAAAAATCGACTCCCAAACTTGGTTGCTTCACCATCTACTGAATAAGATCACCTTCTTTTTCTGTATCGTTTTTTCTTCCGAACATCAATAGCCCAACTTTATTAATACACCAGTCATTTATTCAACTACACTCAAAAAGACAAGACGATAATTTTGTCCGTGTAACTAAAAGTTTTTAGAAGATGAGAACATACACTTCCTCGGGCTCTCTAACATCAATGAGTTGAGATTCATCAAGGAAACTGGGTTCTTGCATTTTGACATGAAGCTCATCAGGCTGTATGTCTTGAAGAACTGACTCTTCCCTATTTGCAGAAATCACAACTGAATCAAGAATAATCCTGAGTCTCCCACTTTAATTAATACAAAAGTTAAGAAGTCCAAGGCCAACCTCTCGGAAATAACTTGCAATAAATGCCATCCAAATTTAGTCTTGCATTTTACAACTTTGTTTATAGGCGCACTAAAAGCAGCCTCCTCAAATTCTGGCACCTGCAGCACCATGTTGAAGATATTTCAATCGAATAAGAAAAGAGAAAGAGATGCTTTCAACTAGGTCACTTCTTTGATATCTTTTAGAATCACAATACAACATGTCTCCTCGTAGAGCAGCACAAGAATGCTGCAATTTTGGGATGATAGCTGCTCATATACATCAAATTCAGTCCATACGTCATATTCATATAAAGCCATTAAGAAGTAGTTGACAACTAATTTGCTTCTTACAGGGATATGTAAGAAGTTGCCCCAGAGTAATGGTGAAGCTATAATCAATGTGTCTTGAAAATGTAGAGAAATGATTTTTTCACATTTAGTTTTCTTGTAATATGTGCAAAATGATTAGTCAATTTCTTTTTCTTGAAAGTATAAGTTCTCTAATTTTAGAAGGTTGAGACAGCCAGAACAGATACCCTGTAATGAACAGAACATATTCCTAAAACCCATCGAGGATAAAGCTTCAGCATACCATCTGCCCCTTTCTCAACCACCCTAGCATCCCACCTCGTTCTTTTGATGGACAAATTGAGTGTTCAACTGCAAGGTCACTCAGATCCTCTCCTGGAACAATAATAAACAACAGCAATGACATAGCATCAGGCTTGCAGCGTACTATATCTATTCAATTAGCTCACAAGATGATTGCGATTCAACCAATGACAACTTCGGAACATTTTTTATGTCGCATAAACGCTAACATTTTTCCTTTCTTTCTGCATGTATGATATGACAATAAAGAAAGAAAGTCATAGAAAAGTTCAGGCTTGAAAATGGACCTGCTGAAACCCTTTGCTGAAGCTCAAGCAGAAGATCGAGGTCGTTTTCCTTAAGAAGCAAGTGCTGCACTAGTAATTCCCTCCCATTGCCAGAACTTGGCTGAGAACTAAACGAAGCTGAAATACCTAAAGAAAGACTTCTCATATTCAGTATATTCACCGAAAAAATCTACTAGAGGACTTCCACCAATTAATAGACAGAATTCTGAAATTAGACTCTCTAAAAACAGGTCCACAACAGACTACTTCAACAAGGAACTGCACATTTGTTTCAAACAACAGGGGAAAGCACCGATCTTAAAAATTTGATACAATCGACGAATCTAAGCAAAGTATGTCAACAAATATTCGGAAGTACAAAATGCGGTAAGCGAATGAGAGTTGCACGTGACACAACGACAACATCTGCTACTACTAAGCTCTTTGTTTCCCTTTCCCACTGGCTGGGATCACATCTCGAACCCTCGACTATCATCCGGCAGATGACTACTCAGTCTCCTTGCTACTTCAAGTCTTCAACCGACGACAGATCCCAAGGAGACACAAAAACTACCGAGAAAGGATAATTCTTTTCAATGAAACGGCGGTCGGACTCTCCTTATCCGATCAGCTGTCACACCAGAGTAACACTGACAGCATCTTACCATGTTTACAGCCTCCAACTGCCTCATCACCAATTCAAACACACCATAATCCCACCCATTCCTCAATGATCATTGGCTTCACTTCACTAGAAAGGCCGAATTTGGGCTTCAAATACGTTTGTAACTGCAAAAGAGTATGTCATCGAGAAACTAATCATGGGTAATGATTATCACGCTCGACTGACTCCATCAAGTCATCAAGCTCTTTCTTTTCCTCAAAATTTTTCCGCCCAACACCGCCCGCTCATTTCCATTTTCATTCTCCCCGTACCGCTCACTTCGAATTACAGGAAACAAAAACTGGGCGCAAACTTCACCGGAGCTTCCGCGCGCTTACCTGCTCCTCCGAGGCGTGGATGGGGCGACGCGGGCTGGGCCGGCTTCAGCTTCCGGCCGAGGGGAGGAGGAGAAGGCGAGAGGTGCCTTGTCGAACAGAGCGGAGGAGTAGCGGAGATACCGCGAGATTGCGAAGGAGAAGAGAAGCTGAAAGTGGGAATCAGAGAGAGTCTAAGCGCGGTGAGAGCGGTGGAAGCCATTGCTGGGAAATGCGGCGCTCTTAACATTGCTTTCTTGCTTCTTCCTCGCAACAGAGGGAAGGAGGGCTAAGCTAGCTAGCTTAGACATGGAGAAGCTGTCGGAGCTCAGTGGGCGGGCTCGGGCCGGATCGGGCCCGGTCGAACCGGGCCGGGGCTTAATGTCCAACACCGATGTTGCAAATGAAGAATCTTTCATCGAAGATGGCGGTCGACGGTCCGACACGCGCGTACTAAGGTTATTATCGAAGCACGCACGAGTCGGGTGCTCGGTGTGAGAAGTTAAGAGAATGCGCGAGTATGGTGGTCGGATTCGGAGTCGTATGGCGAGGCCAAACTAGTTAGCAATGGCGTGTCTCGTTTTCCTTACAGATGGCGTTGACGTCAAATGTTTTTGCAAGAAAGTGTTGTCCTCTGGAAACAAGATTCATGAGTCTTGCTGCGGCAGAGAAGCAGAAGTTGCTGTCTCATTTGACAGCATCCTTCCATTTATTACAATATGAGCTGATAAACCCATTTCAGCAATCCGAACAACAACATGGACTCAGTACAATGTACAATTAGACTCTAAGCCTCGCCCGGCAAGGCGCGTGAACGAGCCCGCCCCTGTAGAACTCGCTGAAGCAGGACTTCGAGTTAAAGTCCAGTTCGACAGCGACTCGAATGAGCGCGGACAGCTCTTCTTTCCCGTCTACCTAGAACATGAAATCAGTTGCTTATTAAGCATTTACGCTTAGCATGGCAATCGGCAATCTTCATCTCTGTTATTCGCGGCAGTTGATCAGCAAAATCAACCACTCTTGATAGTGCCCGCACTGCCGATGGAGATGGCCAGCTGCATATTGTCCGAGTTATAGCTAAGAATAGTCAAGGACTAGCAGGCGTCGTTGATGGTGTCCATGTATAAATGAGTAAGCCCAACACAAGGATGATGGCTCCGGCAACAAAACCCGGTGGGAGCGAGGATGCGACCCCGAGGTATGGTAATGGCAATGTGAAGATATACACGGATATGGGCACTGCCATGGAGTAGACCAAAAAGAAAGAGTAATTAGTAACTGCAATGAACCAGTAAGTCATGAGGAAAAGTAAACGGGCTTCTTTTTACTAATAACAGTGTACAATGATGCTATCATTCAGTATCATCAGGCTTCCCTTTGGTGATTTCATGTTAAATTAATGGACCTTATGATGGAGACCGTAGGGCGAATTAACAGAGACGAGAAGTCTGATGACGCTGAAACCTGTTGTACACTCCAAAGCTAACAACTGAAACCTGTTGTACACTCCAAAGCTAACAAAAATGGGAGAGAAAAATTTCGACTGATGTGGAATTTATGTTTATGTTTCCAGATAAATCCTTCAACTAAAACCCTCACAGAGTGATGCTAGGTAGTGGTAGTACACAGCAACATTCTTTCATGACCACTGCAATACTGTCCCGTTGCATCGTCTTTCATGCTACTTTGTGAGGCTTTAACCAGGAGGTTTCTCTACATTGACATTTAAGAAGTAAAACACCATACCTGAAAATGTTGAGGCAAGCGAAGATACCAGCGCGGACGAGATCTTCAGGAGATGCAACAACGATATGTTAAACCCCATGTTTACCACAACAAACAGTAAAGGTAGCAGTGGAGCTCCATCACATCCTGGGGACCAATCAAGCATATACTTCACTTTAGTGTGTGTAACAGACCCTCCAGATGGAGCAATGCAACAATACGAACTTATGTGCTGTTACAAGATTTTTTCTTTTCAGATGACAATTTGTTTTTATTCACCATAGTAAATATTGCAGAAAGTCTCAGTTAACAACAGCGGCATCTTCTAACAAAGGAACGAAAAACTGATAGAAGACCCCCATATCACAATGACATCAATTTACACATAATCATCCCTATGTTCAAATCAAATATAAAATGCATACAGACGTGGCTGCCTGTCCACTAGAGCACATTCCATGAGCACACAAGCGTGAATGCTGGTGAACGCATTTACCTCTATGCACAGCCAGCTGGGGCTACACAGACATGACAAAGGGTTACATGCTCAACAAAGAAGAAGAAATTTCACAGAAATTTGTCTTGGCCATGTTAGAATTTCACTGGTTTGATCCCAATCAGCTTGGCCAGAGGCACCATCTACATTCATTTTCCGAGGTCTAACAACTACTAAAGAAATAAAATTGAAGTAAAGTAGCACTCACCACTTGATAATTGGCCAATGTTCAAAAAACAGGCCGTGCCATCTCTAAGATAAGTTGGCAGCTGACTAAAAGGAACACCCCATAATTTTGACAAGAAAGGGAGGAGGAGGCATATGAACAAGGCCTGTACTACACAAAGATTAAGAACAATCAGCTGAGATATCAAATGTCTAGTTATCCTCCAAAAAGTATACCTTAGCTCAGTGTAGGGTATTTACCTGGAAAGCAGATCCATAAGAATTTACAACAAACAGATCCACAGACCCTCCCTGCCAGGATGCAATTCAGTAATCTCAGCATCATGACATATTATATTTGAGGGAATAATCGATAATATGTTCCTAGCATCTGCTAAAGACTCAATGCAAGAGAATGTCTGGACCTTCCAGTTAACTTATCCCCAGACCGAAACGCCAATTAGAAGGAGCTAAGCTCAATCGCCAAGTACTGTTACGCTATGCCAAGTTTCAAATTCTCCTCAGTATCATTAGTTGTTATAACATCTATCCTGAATGACACCATCTACAGATTTAATAACCCTTCAGCATAAGAAGCACCAGTTAACTCTTAGTAGAGCTCAAAACCCGTTCTTATAAGTCAATTTAGGTACCGACTAGGCGTGTTGATAGGAGAGCAAGAGTTTAAACTTAGGTTTGCTACCAAAGTTTGAGAACGTGAAATTTTTGGCAGGACTGGCAGGAAGAAGGAATCCGCCCGGCCCCAAAAATACTCAGAAACTACTGTGCTATGCCTACTTAAATTAATGGTTATTTAGCAAGCTTGGAGAAGTACAATTGGGTAGTCTTTCATCAGACATACCTTTAAATTCCTAGCAGCATCCAAGAAAATTATTTCCTACAAAGCAAAGAAAGAATAGCTGTTACGTAAAATAAGCACCATAAGAGAAGGAAAAACATAAATGAAAAACTTAGGGAACAAACAAGACTTCAGAGTGCAACCAACCTTTAATACGGTATCGGCAGCTTGAAACAGAAAAGAAGCTATCATTAAAAGACTCCAAAATATACCGGCTTCCTTCAGCGAATGACCAGGACTAGATCCACTGTGGAATGAAAAGTATATCACTTTATAATACCTAATGGGGTCAATAAATACAACCTATCTGCCAGAAAGAAAATCAGTTCTCTTTTGAAGACTGCTGGGATCAAGACTGAATTGGTAACTTCAACTAAAGGCATCTTATCGGGGAAAATCCTTTGCAATTAAGATCTTGATAACATGGGAAAAGTGGAGAGATGATCTTTTTCTTATCTAGGAGGACTAAAGCTAAAGAAAGAAACGAGAGACAAACGAAAGTGAACAACAAAAGCCCACACTGCATGTTTCAAATCCTAACGATTATCATCAAAACCTGTCCTAGAAAGTCTCATGACCCTCTTACTGCTTCTGTTTCTGATGCGGGTTATAGTAAGGGGGCATACTGCTTGTTCACCAGAGAACAACTACATTAGAAGAAGAGTGAACCCATACATAAGTTTTCATAGCTTCCCAATTCATTTGGAGTAATGTCAGAGAATCTAATAGGCCAAGAGAAAAGGAATAATCAAAATTCTCTCAAATGGAGTTGAAGATAACTCGTCGAAGTATAAAAAGGTCTTTCCATAAAAGTTCAGTGAGTTACCTCGCTACAGTAATGATCACACCAACAACTACAAGGAAGCATCCAAATAACTGATTGGCTTTGTATCTCCTCCCAAGAAAAATAGTGGACAGGAGAATTTGCCACACCAGAAATGTCTGCAAATATTGTTAAAGCTCGGATCGGCATCACACTTAAACATTAGACATTAATCATACGGCTTTCAAAGAGAAGTTATCAGGAAAAATCAAGCTCGCTTGAATTATGTTTGCTTGGAGCCACTCTATTAAATTGGTCAGTTTATTGCAAATCAACTGGTCCAATTATTTTCAGCAAACACATGAAACACCAGTGTCCAAGCCTGCTGCTTTAAAAAACCAAGCCAAGCAAGCTTGTTGATTATAAGGAAAATGAAAATACTTAAGAGCACTCCTCAGATACCGATACAAATACATAGCAATCCAGTAGACAATACCAAATGCAAGCCCGAACGTACATCTCAATGACTATTCAACTATTTCTATAAAAAATGCATCGAAATGCAAAAGAATACTTGAGAGCGATTTTCACCTGAGACAAAATTGGAATTGATGCTCCAGAAAGAATTGCTGGTTCAAGAGATAGAAGAACAAAAATGAGCATGTGAGATCATATCCCGGGTCATTATGCTCACAGAGAGGATTTCTAATTAAAACGGGTATCTACCTCCAGCTGCCATTCCGGTAGCAGCAGCCAAAGCCTCCAAGAAGCCAACCGCAACATAAGGAGCTTTAGGCGTTGAAAGCATCTCATCCGTGACAATGCCAGCATGGTACCGCAGATACAAGATAGAGAAGTATACAACTACATACCTGGAAAACAAATAAATAAATGCAAGATACAATGAGATCTTATTGCTCAAAAACAACTGCTTTGGAAGAGACGTGATAGCATACTTAACAGACCGGATTATGGTTTTACATCGAATCAATCGATCAGAAAATTGACATCATGCTATGACAGGGTTCCCCGAGTATAATCTATTCCTTCATATGGGGAAAAATCGAAATACTCAGCGACGCCAAGATACTTTACATATTACAAGCTTGATGACAACGCCCACATCTTTTCACACTCTATTCCTGTCCACGGTCTAACACATAAACAACACTCCACCATGACATCCACACCTCCAACTTTTACCCAAAAACATCTAGCGAGGTGTATTATAACTACGTATTACAACCAATGTCACTGTCTCCCAAAATTCAAATCTCCCCCCCTTTTTCAACATATGCCGTAGAATAATTGTTGAAATTTCCGAATATTTTTATCCCCCTCTCTTTGCACACTGAGATCTTCTCCACTGTCGTCCATCCTTGTGCACAACATAGCCCCCCCAACTTCATATCCACATCCAAAAGACGCCTAACGTCGCTCAGTTCCACTGCATTTCTCGGTGGGACCCAATAAAAAAAATTAAGAGAACGAAAGAGGAAAATCCAGGTCAGCCCCCCGAATTATTGAGGGTAGTACTAAATTCCCCAACTTGGCCCCCACCCCGGAACGAATATCATAAGACTCCATAACGAAGGAGGAAACTTTATAATATATTCATGCGCAATGATGTCGACGCACCGCGAAAATGATCATGAAAAGACTGTTCCAAAGGAGGGCAAGAAAAGGGAGGAGGGGGCGCATAAGGAAAATGAGAGAGAGAGGAGAACGGAAGAGAAGAGAATCTATGCGCGTAGTGGTGCGCCGTGCATGGCTGTTGGTCGGCCCCACGCTGGCCGCTCGGAAGAAGCCTCCACCGACCACCATCCCAAACTTTTTGTGCGTTCCCCGCCGTCGTCCTTTCGCTCCAAAGGGCCACCCCCCCCCCCCCACCCAGATATCGAGAAATCCACTTTCGCCTCTTTTTTTCCTCCTCTCTCTCGACCTTACTTTACTTATTCCCCGATTTCCCCATATTTCTTTTTCTAAGTTCGACACAAATAAATAAGGTTCCCTAATATGTATTATTATGTGATCCACAACACCAAACAAGTATACTTTTCGAGAGTCACCCCCGGATTCTAACGAGAAATTACCCGAAAAATTGTACGCGAAATTACGTACCGAAGTTCCGGGTGCTCCGGGCCAAAGAAAATGTCAAACCCCGCGCGCGCGCGCCGCGATATTAAGAATAAAGGGAAAAATAAGAAGTCAAAAACAAATCCTATCCAAACACGGTCGCCTTCGTGTCAACTAGTCAAGAACGATCGATGCTACCATCATCCTCGTCGGCACATACCTATAAAAAAAATGCCCCCCCCCCCCCCGTAAGTTCGGCTCAACGAAGGGAACAAGACCAACTCGCTCTTTTCTTCTTCCGCAGAGACGGAGCAGAACTTTGCTTCTCCTTTGGAACCGTCGAGGTAAATGGATGTTGGCGTCAGCATTACAAGATTTGTATGCCGAGGATTAAAAAAAACTTATGGTCTTTCCTCAAATAGAAATTGACCGAATATCCCGAACCACCCGTTAACAAAAACCCTGAAAAAGTAGTAAATATTTAAATATTATGTATGTCCTGGGTATCCATGCTTTCTTTAATGCCCTAATTACGAGTGGGTGGAATGGACGCAAATTACAGATCTGTCCTTTGATCTATTTTTGAGCGAAAAGAACTTAATGATGCGTTTCCTCAACGTTGACGTCAGCCATTTGCTCATTCTCGAAGAGGCTCACCTGTCCACGGCACCCGCCGATGAAACGACGAGAGCCCCGACCAAACATCACCACCACCGAAAGAAACACATGGCAAGACGAGGTTTGCTTTTGTTCGTTTGTTCCGAACCACCCATATCCGGATCCAATCGACGGTTCATAATAAATGGAAAAATTCAAACGCCGAACGGTCAATTATGTTAATTTTTCTTACGTTTTTTTTTTTTTTTTGGTCAAGATGTTAATTTTTCTTACGTGCGATTAATACTTATATAGATGTTTCGAAGATCAAAATCCCGTCCGAAAACGGCCTTCCTGTTCGACGCACACATGTTCGTTGCACTTAATAAAAAGAATGTCTGATTTATAAAAGCTTAGGAGTACTCTTTGAAAAGCTCCAATTCAGAAATGGGTAAAATTGAAATCTCTTATTCTAAGAGTTTGAGATTAATTGGAAAAATTCGAAAATTGAAAAGAACAAAAAAAAAAACCCCATAATAGACATGCAGTTCTACTCGACTCGACGCTAATCTTAATAATTTGCCAAAAAAAAAATAGCGGTTCTGATGAGCAAAATTTGAAAGGAAAAAAGAAGAAGAAGAAATTGTGAATAGGAGAATTTCTGAATTTTGGACGCCGATTACTCGTACGAGAAAAAGAAGAAGAGGTAATTAATAATGCTAGCGCGCTAACAAGATCCCGAAAATGAGGGCGCAAAAGAAAATGTCGGCGACCGGAAACGGAAAATCGGCGGCGGATAAACGCGACGGCTCGGCCGTGCATGTGCTTGGATCCAGAAAAATATCGTAGAATCGGAAGTGGCGATAGCAAATACTGCGAAACATTTCGACGGAGGAGAGAGCCATTGGTTTCCAGATTTCACTACTTCCACGCTCGTTCAATTGATCGGAGCACGCGCGTTGATCACAGCAGAGAGAGAGAGAGAGAGAGAGAGAGGAACTGACCCGACGGTCGCAAGCTGCGCGAGGAAGAAGGGGTACTGCTTGAGAGGCACCAGGGCGAGCTTGTACAGCACGCGGTTCCCCACCCCCAGGACCACCGTCGCCGCCGCCGCCGCCGCCACCTCCGCCTTCCTCCTCTCCACCCCCCACCCCCACCAGCTCCCCACCGCCCGATCCACCACGCCGCCGCCGCTCCCGCCCCCCTCGCTGTCCCCCACCGCGTACCGGCACGGCCCCGCCGCCCTCGGCCTCTCCTTCCCGATCCCCCCGCCGCCGCCATCGCACGATCCCTCCCCCGGCGCGGCAGCCACCGCGAGCCACGGGTCGGGCCGGTACGGCGATCGCAGGGCGATCCTCGGCCACCGATCCGTGCGATGGTGTCGCAGCCACGGGGCCTCCATCGCGTGCCGACGCCTCGAGGTGGACGGCGCGGAGAGGTTCTTCGCGCCGGCGCCGGCGGCGGGTAGCCGCCCGTAACACGACGACATGGCTGGCTGTCGTGGAGCTATGTCCCGCTCGAGAGATGTCGACTGTCGAGCAATGGAGAGAGAGAGAGAGAGAGAGAGAGAGAGGAGACAGAGGAGCACAGATCGATTCACGTGTCCATTATTAAAAACTCGATGCAAATTTCTCTTTCCTTGTTTTTTTCGGGCAATGAATGGGAAATTTCTTTTTTTTCTTATTAATTTTCGCTGCTGAGTCGAGTGACGTGTTGATTGGGAATAAAATAAAAAATAATTTGGGTCGCCTTTTCAGTCCCCAGAAAAAAACAATTATAAAAAGTAAAAAGGATCATTTGAGTGGCGATCGTTGGGAGGTCAAATGTAGGGGGAAGGAAAAGCGTGTCGGAATGGCATTGGTTGTCGTTTTCTGCGGTCAACATCGCGCACAAGGGGAAGGAAATTGTACCGAGGAGAGGCAGGAAGCTGCCCCCGTTCTTCACGTCCGGCAGACATCTTCTTTAGTCACGTGAATTTTGGTAATGTAAATTCGTTGTTTTTTTTTTCTTTTTTTCTTTTTCGTCGTCTGAATTTTCCTTTTTGGCAATCGAGTGAGTTTTGCTTGAAAATTGGTATAATTACATTGGGCTTCGTTCGCTTGTGCTATTGTTGGCCATAGTAATATATATTGGGTTGTTCTTCATCCGAGATCTACTCCCATGGTTGATGTTAGACTTATCTGGTTCATCAATTAGGGTTCGAGATAATTGGTCACTTATTTTTGCTGTTGCTTGTTGATATTTCTGGAACTGGAGGAATAGACGAATATTTGATAAGGATTTTTATCTTACTAGCAAACTCTTGTGCGTGACTCTAAGCCAGGTCAAAGATATTGCTTCGATTCGACTGACAGAACACAGATTGTCTCCTCGAAGGGAGAAAAGAGATAAGTTTGTGGGTTGGATTGCCCCTCAGACTGGTTGGGTCAAGCTCAATTCCGACGGGGCCTCTAAAGGTAACCCGAGACCCGCCTCAGTAGGTGGGCTTCTGCGTAATAAATCAAGCAACTGGCTCGTTGGATTTGCTCAAATTGTGGGAGTGTGCTCTTCGTTCAAAACAGAACTATGGAGTATCCTTTTGGGTCTTAAAATTGCAATTTCTTTGGGCATACCTAAACTTATTGTGGAAGTGGACTTGCAAGTCGCCATTTCACTACTTCACAAATCATCTCCCGCTCTCCACTTTGGCAACACACTCATTACTTAGATTCAGAAACTTTTAAAGTATTTCCAGAATGTCAAAATGCTACATAATTTTAGAAGAGGCAACTCATGTGTTAATTGGTTAGCAAATTGGATCTTTCATTCTTGTGATGCAAATGACATCTTAGTACTAGATAGGCCACCGAGAGGGTTGACTCCTCTATTGATAGAAGATCAGGTTGGTTCAAGTTTCATTAAACGAGTTCTATTGTAATTTCTGGGCTTTGCCCCTTTCAATACCAATATATATATGGGCTAATTCCCCTACTCGTAATAAGAAACGAAAAAACTTAATTGCTTTTTTAAACAAGTAGTTAAGAAAAAAACTTATGTTGAATTAAACGTGCAATACGTATTTGCACAGTGTCTTGTAACCGGGGGTACTAGTTGACAAGTTGATTACAAGACACTGTGTGAAGCACAAGGCAACTAGCAAGAGCCTAAGATCCCCTCCCGTCACCCCCGAGCGCAGGTGACTACTATATCAACCTACCTCGAACGTAGCCAGCCGAAGCTGACATGGAGTAAACGCTCTGCACCCAGGATAGCCCCAAGTTCCCTCTTGTTGTTTTTCTTTTCGAGAGAGAATGAATACAGAGAGAACTTACTGGAATATCCCTCCACCGTACCAAAAAGATTTTTCTCTTATTTCTTCTTGAGCCTTTTACGAACCTACTCATGTACAAATCTCCTATACTATCATGTGTAAATAGATATAGGGTGATCTAATCAATTTTTTGCTCCCATTTAATTCACGAGGTTGATTGATTTTATCTTGTAACTAACGCACGCGATTTGATCCTGTCAATTAAAATTTTTTAAGATATATTTGATCTCAAGATGTCAAAAGTTTATGAGAGCCTCGTTGTTTTACCCTTTTTCTCGAAGAAACTCTATAAATATTTGCAACCCAGTTTTACCCTTTAAACATGTTTTGGTGCAATTTTCTTTTTTCTTCTGCGCAAATGCAGTCGTAAGCATCTCTGAATGTTATTTCGAATTATCGAAGAGGAACTTGGGCCTAGATCAATTTTTTTTTCTATTACTTATCTTGCTCTTTTTTTGGTAACCAAAAAAAAATTACAAAAGAAAAAAAATTTGGATGGATAGATGATTTCACAATATTTTATAATCAACATGTCGACAACTAATTATACGAAACTCGTAATATCCTTTCGCTCGCGATTTCATTGTACTATTAATTTAATATGAATTTCTTTAGTAGCTATATTTTTAGAATACTTTATATCTCGTTCACGTGATTGTAAATAAAAAAAAATTTAGAATCACATAATTTCCAGGCTATTCCGTAGAAATGATTCGTTATAATCATTTGTTATTTGGACAACTAGACTAGTAATATTTGAACTTTAAAGAGTTAATAATTATTCATAGTAAAAAAACTAACATATTTGAAAAGAAAAATCGACCTTTTTATCACATGGGCCCTACAGAAGGTGGGGCCATCCTCTTTTTTTTTTTTTTTTGGTCGGCTGGGCCATCCCCTTGACTCGCCCGAATTCTCTCTCTCTCCTCTCTCGCACGCACGTGCAAACGCACGTGCCTGCGCACCCAGTTCCACTTCCTCCCACCCACGCGCCAGCACGTGTCTCTCTAGTCTCTTCCCTCCATCTCTCTCGCCCCCACGAAGACGCCCAGACGCGAGAGTAGGGCAAACTGTAGTCGCTCTCTGCGTGGGCCGAGGAAAAAGTTGACGTTACCCGCTTTCGTCTATGGAGATTTTGAGGGTAAGCAAGTGGGTAAAAGGTATTTGGATCTCGGGCTCAAAGAACAATGAATAGTTTCTATCAAGCATCTGGACTTCCCCTCCACCTCCAAATAGTTTAAGGGAATCTCTTTCCCTAGACCCGATTACACTCGACCCGATCGATCTTCACCGTGGGACCCACAACACCAGAGGTCGTAACGGGACTCGGCCCCATTGATCGGGTTAGGTCGAGGCGAGAAACTTCCTGTAGTTAAGAGTCTAAAAGTTGCTTTCGAAGCGTACTCAATTTGTATCAGATCATCGTTTCATTTCCGATCATTGTTGAAACTGCTATGCCACTAATGCGACTTGAAGGATGCAACTTTTTACTTGTGAAGTTAACCTTGCGCTGATTACATTGCACCAAAAATAATAAAGAGACAAAAGAAAATTGAGACGGTGAAGGTCCCTTTTTTTTTTTTTTATGTTTTCAATATTATAGATAATTACGAGTTATGGATAATTTGATTGCCCAAATTAAACAAAATTGTGGATACATGGATGATCCTAGGGTCATGTGACGGAGGCATAAAGTGTGCTCTTGTGCGAATACGTTGATGATGTGGATGATCGAGTAGCTACTTAGCTTTAGACTTGCTTACTAGGTATGCCCTCGGAGACTCGGGGCTTGGCTCAAGTAGGCCGAAACTTTGAATGACCCATCCAAGCATGAACTCGTTGGCGTGGTCAAGTGTTTAGGCCACCCACCTAGGCCCGCTCCGGAGGTCACACATGACATATTTTTAACATTCATATTTGGAAAAGAATAAAAATAAATTAAAAAATGAGAAAAATGAATTGTGTGTAGATCCAAGAAAAGATATATGGCCAAGAAAAAGACCTGAAAAAAAGACTTAAAAAATGAATAACGTAGGAAGTGAGGAATCCTATCTTTTTCACTTTTACTACGAAGGAGTTGTAAAAGATACAATCCAAAGTACAACCTTTTACTGTTAAGGATAGTGGAGCAAAAGAAGACTCCGTCTCAATCTCATCCAAGCCTTAAGGTTCACGCCTAAAAAACGAATGGCTTAAGCTCGCTTTCTAGGGTGAAAAAGCAAAGGGACGACTAGGAGTGATCATGATACGGGTTAGACCGGTGCAATACCTAACTCTGGGACTAATCCGCACAGTATTGATCTCCAATTTTTTGGACCGAGGACCGATCCTACTAAGCTTGGGATCGAGGACTGAACCGACCAATCCAGTTCCAGGATCAACCCAGGACTAACCAATTTTTTTATGTTTCATTTTTTTTATTCGTTGAAAGGACAAACGATACACTTTAAAAATACATATCCATCGACAATGCAATATTGAGTAACCAAACTATGGAACCCGGTACAAATTAAATAAAAATCTAAGATAAGGCAACAACAAAAATCTTCACTTAATAGTATACGGACACGTGAAATAAAATTAAAAAATAAAATGGTTAAAATACATAACATAAACCATGGATTATACGATTTCATATCATGTTCATTCTCAAAAGATTGCTTCAATTTTTGAATACCTGAAAACGAAACAAACAACTTCATATCTTGTTCGTGAGACACCGAGGAGGGCCAAGTGAGGCGACCTGCGTTCACTATTCATGAGGCGCCGAGGTGGGCCAAGAGAGGCAAGCTGGTTTGTGAGGCGAGCGAGGAGAGGTAGATCTAGCGAACAGCCACAGAGAAGCAAGGGAAGAAGAGAGGCAACACTTAATAGTTAATAGCGTTTCTATTTTCAACGCCAGAAGAAAAGAAGGGAGGGGCCTTAGGTTCTTTGGAAAATAAATAAATATATTTTTATATATATATGATTGGTTTGGGTTGGACCAACTCTAAACTCTTAGGACTGATGACCAACCTGCATAGTATAAGGTCTAGGAGTCCCAAGACCAAGGACCGACTCAGTCCCCCTAGAAATAGGACCAGGACCGACTGGGTTGAGCCGATCCAAAGTTGGTCCAGGGTCAACCCTGAACCATTGCTCACCCCTAAGGACGACAGCTCAAAATTCTCATCGAACTATACCCCTAAGACTTGAAAAGTTGCAATATTCCCATCAATTTGTCACTGTTGCAAAATGGCCCCATGAAGTTTATAAATTACCCTCTCCTAAACTTTGAATTTGGTG